TTTGAAGCAGGGTCTCCCTGTAGCCCCAGCTGTCCTGGAACTCACTATGTAAACCAGGCTGGTCTTGAACTCACAGAGATCCATTTGCCTCTGCCTCCTGAGTGCTGGGATTAAAGGCGTGCACCACCACGCCTAGCTTCTTTTTTAATTTTTATGTTCTGTCCAGCTTTGAAGACTACACAGTAACTTATAGTGGTTCCTTTTATCATTTTCCATACAAGGAACATTAATTTTTTAATAACTTTCTTTTCCTAGCATATTCTAATGTTTTAACTTTTTGTTGTCTTTTTTTATTCCAGTTACTGTACAGTATTGTTTCATTTTTTTCCATCCCTCTCAGTCCCCCAACTCCTCCCATGTTGCCCCACTCTCTCTCAATTTCTTGTCCTCTTCTTTGATTATTATTATATTACATACACATACATATATTTATAAATATGTATATGTAAAATTCACTGAGTCCATTTAGTGGCACTCTTGTGTACCTGTGTTTAGGGCTGTCCATGTGGGATTATATAACCTCTCAGAGAGCTAGTGCCTGGAGAAAACTGATTCACCCTCCCTCAGCCTGCATTGATTGTCTGTAGCTCTGCATTTTGAGGTGGGACCCCATGGCATTCCCCCATCCACCTATGTATGCTTTTGCCATTATGCAGATCTCCTTAGACTGCCATACTGTGATGATGTCATTGGTGCAGCTTCCCTAGCATGTCTGGAATGCATCAGCTAGCAGCAGGTGTCTTGTCCCTCTGGATCTTACTCTCTTTCCACCTCTCCCATGGCGTTCCCTGAGCCATCAGGTGTAGAGGTTGCACTGTGCACATGCAGTCACTTAGGGCTGAGCACCTCACAGTCATTTACTCTTATATTTGACTAGTTGGGAACTTTGTAATAGTCTCCATTTGTTGCAAAAAGAAGCTGCTTTGATGAGTGGTGAGAGGCACACTTGTCTGTAAATATAAGGATACGTGTTTAGAATACAGTAAGAAAAAACACTGGTCTAGGGAAGTGACAGAAGTAGATTTTTCTCTAGGATCTGTGACCTCTCCAATCATGTGTATTTGGCTATGCTTACAGTACCACACATGATTTCCCACCTATTGAATGAGCCTTAGGTCCAATTAGACAGCTGTTGATTACCCCCAAAATAAAAGCATTACTACTGCACCAATAGGAATAGTTTGCTGGGCTGGTCATTGTAGTTTTTAGTCTTTGCAGGTAGGTTTGTTCATTGATTGGTTTTCTCCCTTGCCAGCTTGCATAGTATCTATGAGAGTTAGTCTTTGGGAAGGAAGCTTCCAGGTCAGTTCCAACTCCATTGCTTCAAGTCCTGTGTCCAAAGTACGTCCTGTCTTCAGCAATAGGATCTTACCTTCATGTCCTGGGAGGCAATCGAGTACTATGATAATACCCTGTGTTATTTTGGAAGTCCTTTGAACTACCCTGACCAACAATTTGAAGGGAGGTTTCCCTTGCCTAGCATTACAATTTTTGTTACATAGCTATCAGCTATATGCATGCACTCACGTTTGTGTTACGTGTATATTTTTCATTAGGCTTATTAAATACCACATTGCTTTTTAAGATGTATTTTTATAAAACTCAAGGTGATTGAAAAGTTAACTTACATTTGATTTTCAAAATTTTCTGTTTCAGTTACAGATTTTCAAAGAGCTTTGTAACAAATTATTAATTTCTAGTACAATTACTATATTCCTATTGAGTTACACTTAGTGGAAAACAAATCTCTTATATAAGGAAAAGCACTAAGACTAGAGATCAGACTGTGACCCCTTCGTGGAAATTTTTATCCTCAGGCTCACTGACTGCCCTTGTGATGGGTGATGGGAACCATTGGGAGGTTTTGACCAAGACAGGAAGAGTAAGGGAATTCATTGTTCATAGCTTTACCCTGCCAGTATTGAACCTTAGCTGAGTAACAGTAGTGATAATAAAAAAATTATTTTTATTGTGTTAAGTCTGTTATTAATATCCGTCCTTCTTTTCTCTGACAGTGGGATATGTTACGGTCTCTGTCTAGCACAAAACCTACAGTCAATGAACAGGACTTATTGAAATTAAAGAAGTTTACAGAAGATTTTGGCCAGGAAGGCTAAACCAAAGACAGCAAGGAACATGTTCACTCTCTTTTCTTTCTTTCTTGGGTATTTTTGCCTTTCTTGGATGGCATTCAGATTTTTGCTGTAGAAGAACTCTTTTCTGACAGGGAAACATGCATCACACTTCAGAGTTCCCTTAAGTTTTGTGTTGTACTTTTCCTCTATTACCTATTAAATGCTCCAGTTAACAAAAATTGTAAAATGAGTTATAAGGAAATGAGCAATATGTGAATGACATTTAAAAAAACAAATTACCCAGTAAAAAGAGTGTTAAATGTTGATTGTCATGCAAATATTTGGAATTTTTCTGAGTGCTGGTCTTTGCAAAGAACATTTTATCATTCTTTTACTAAATTGAAATAGGGCTTTATATTTTGAAAGAAATTCTTAAACATTCTTACCTATGTACAGCTATTTACTTTGCTAAAAATTAAAAATGACAGAATCTTTACTCTCAGGGATGGGCAATAAAACAACAAAGAATAAACAACAGCAAAAGCTGTGATTGGTTCAGAAAGATTTGGAATTAGTGTACAGCCAGTGCTCCTATATTGATTTTTTTAATTGGTTGTGTTTTTTCTGTGTATGACTAAATGCTACCTTTCACTGTGCAATCTCAAGAGAGACTTTCTAAATTCATCATCTTTACCTTGAAGAAGAAAATTGTCTACTTCAGTGTCTTTTTGTAGCAAGATTGACCAAAAGAGGTGGTAAATAAGTATGAATTTTTAAATTACTGTCATGAAATACTGTAAAGGGAACCTTTGCTAATAAGAAAATGGCTTCCCTCTGGACGTGGGAACATGTCCAGGTGTGTGTGTGTGTGTGTGTGTGTGTGTGTGTGTCTAAAATTTTTTAAATATAGAATAACAAGGGTTATATCTTAAACTTTTTACGTTCAGGGAACAGTTTGTCCTGGCCATACATACATTATTAGTGTGATTTGTGAAGCTTTGGAAATAAACTGATGTCTCATTAAATAATAAATGTAAACGTGATATGTTATTTTAATGTCGTCAAATAGTCTGAGGATGGATGTTACACACTTGCACATCAATACTAAGTTGTGCCTTCTACATTTGCATTGACTATACATGCAAAGTTAGTGGGTTAGCTATAATTACTATGAAGTTTTACCTGGGAAACGCTGTCCAGTAACTTGCATTTTAAAGTATATTTGCACATTTTACATATTATGCTATATGGTTGCCTTTGGTTTTCTGTACAGATTATTTTTGTTGATATTCAATGAACATCATAGGCCTGAAATATACTGTTCTTATGTGAAGTAAATTACTATAACCTACTTGTGGCTATATTGTGTGTATAGTTCTTTATTTGGGGGAATTCTGTATAGGAGAAGATATTATCTAAATTGATTAGATACAAAAATGGACAGTATTGAGCACCTATACTCTCATGAGTTTATGGCCAGCCTGGGCTATGTAACAAGACCCTGTCTCAAAAAAACCCAAAATCATGAAAATCATACTCTTCAACAACTTCTGTGTGAATGTTGCAAATCATCTTGGCAGACCAACACTGAATTCTTTCTGGTTGAGGTAACTTACGCATTTTGTAGCTAAGGTCGTTTATAAACTGTCTCTCTTTATCCATCTTAGAAAAATGAGAATTATTATAAACTTATGTATGATCGAAAGCCAGAAATTTTTGTGAGTCCAAAGTTCAGATAATTATTCTATGTAAATTGATCAGATCTATGACATAGATATATATAGAGAGAGAGAGAGAGAGAGAGAGTATTGGTGATAAGTGGGTGCTGTAATCACATTTAATGTTTATATGTGCTTTAAGACTTCTGTGTTGCTGACTTGTAGTCATCCCCATTTCTTAAATCTGTCCAAAACATATTTCTGGTATCTAATAGCATTGCTCCTGCTCTGGAACGGTAGGATTTGCTTTATGAGCCACTCCTTGTGCTCTTTTTTAGAAAACTTTTTTTTTTTTTTTGCTGTGTATGTATATGTATGATGATGTATGGGAAGAGGGGTACACTCATGCTATGACATACATGTGTGGATGCCAGAGGACAACTTTGTGGTTCAGTTCTCTCCTTCCACCTTTATTGAACACAGATGTCAGGCTTGCATGGCAAGAACCTTTATGCACTGAGCTGTCTTGCCAACCCTTCATGTCTTCTTTGAGAAACAAAGGAGCCTACAGATAACGCTGTCTGTTTTCTGGGTTTTGACCATTATAAAGTTTTGGGTAGATATTTTCTAAGCAAACAGATAGATCCTCATGACTGAGCATCTTCATGAGTTTTACCCTGCATGTTCAAAAGCAGTTTTTCCCAGCCTGAGAACTCTGAAAGACTAATCATAACTCATGTCAGCAGAGAATTGACTTCTGAGTCCACTCAACTACAAGCAGAAAATCAGGATGAGTGCATTTGATTAATACTACAGAAGCACCCTTTGCCAGTTATGTGAAGTAAAGGAAAATTGTATCTGGTGCCATACATGGCCAGCTAGGCCACATGGTTGATGTCTAGCATTGACACTGATCACATCATTCAGAAGCTTCCCTGGGTGCTTTGATTTTTCTTTCTTTTTCTAGTGCAGCATCCTCTCTTTTCACTGCTAGCCCAGATCCCATCATACTCCCATTAAGACCTAGCTGAAGAACCTTGCCATCTTTCCAGCAAGAATCTCTAAATTTTCCCCATTGACCTTTCGTTTCTTTCTGTAAGTTTCAAGCATCCTCAATCTTGTTTGTAAGCTCCTCAATCTAGATTTTTCCCTAGCAGTTGATGGTATTGGACACTGGTAGGTTCTTAAGAAACTTTGAAGGGGAGTTAGATCTTTGTTCCTGGTACCAACATGGTGGAAGGAGAGAATGAACTCTGGTAACCAGTTTGTCCTTGGACCACCATGTGCACACCATGACCTCCACACATACACACACACACTAAAGGAAAAGAGAAAAAGGCAAGCCCCGGTGGTACATGCCTTTTAAGTCCAGCACTCAGGAGGCAGAGGCAAGTAGATCGCTTTGAGATGGAGAGCAGCCTGGTCTATGTATCAAGTTCGAGGGAAACCCTGTCCTGACAAAAAACAAACACATTACTGGAGTTTTGAAACTTAGAGGGAAAGACACACTCAACTTTATGCAAAGGATGCTAGGCAGTGCAAGAAAAGATTCTAGGATTTAAAAAGTCCAAAACAACCACGGGTAACATAATTGTGTATGTAGAAATTTGAGGGAACTGAAGTGATGGCTCAGTGTTTAACAGCACTGGCTGCTCTCACAGAGGACCCAGGTTCAATTCCCATGACACCTGACCTTCATGGGCATTACATGACATAGGTGTACTGCAGGCAATACACATACACATAAAGTTACTTTTTTTTTTGTCTTTTTGAGACAGGTTCTCCCTATAGCCCCAACTGGCCTGGAACTCACTATATAGACCAGGCTGGCCTCAGACTCCCAAGTGCTGGGATTAAAGGTGTACATCACCATGCCCAGCTCTATAAAAAATTTTTAAAAGAAAATTGATAGAATCTATTAGAAATACAGGATACAAAATCAAAATTCTATATTCTAGCAGTAATTGAAATTATGAAAACAGTACTGATAACTACAATAGCATCAGCAGCATCAATACCTTAAATTAACTAAAAGATGCATCAAGATCCATGCAGAAAACATTACCTAAATAAACTGAGACATAGATGGGAAGAGAGAAACAGAATGTCAGTTCTAACTAAACCAGTCTATAGATTTAATGTCCTTCCAAATCTAGGTGTAGGTAAGTTGATGTAATGTCTATGCCTTTGAAAATTTAAACTGTTTGTCAAAAGTATGTGTTCTTTTTTGTAGACTAAATTGGAATACATTGATACCCAGGTATACAGATACCCAGAAATAAAAATAGGTGCTAAGTAAACAATTCATTGATGGATACCCCAAATGAAAAGAACTAAGCCAGGTGTGGTGGCATATGCCTGTAGTCCTAGCACTTGGGAGGCAGAGGCAGGCTCATCTCTGTGAGTTCAAGGCCAGCCTGGTCTACATAGTTCCAAGGCAGCTGGGGCTATAGGGAGACCCTATCTCAAAAAGACCAAAAATAAGAACTAAGCAAACTTAATTGGTGATCTTTTAAAGATATTTAGTTTTTTGTTTTGTTTTTACAGAGTATGGGGTAGGGGCTTATTTACAGAAGAGTGGGTGCCCCATATTTAAGCTGCACCTTAAAGTCCACACTCAAATTCAGATCCTGTGACATTCCGCCAGCCGCACAAAGTGGTGAGAGGTGCCTCTTGGCGTTCTCAGCTAATACATCCTTTGCCCCCACCCCCACATGCAGCTAAGGTCGACTGGGTGGGAGGCGTAACTGGCTCCTCAACTCCTTGGAGAGCATGGGAAGGAGGTGTGACTACAGCTTGCTGGCATAGTGGTCAGAAGACACTTCAGGTAACACTCCACCTCTTCCTCCAGCTCTTACATTCTTTCTGCCAACCTCTTCTGCAAAAGCCTCTGGGCCTTGGGGTGGTAGGTGTGGGATCATCTTCCTCCCATTGTGGCAAGGCACTGACTTTCAGGTCTCTGCATCATCTGTTTTCCATGGGCTGTTTTCCACGTGCTGTAGTTTCAGTGGGATTCCATCTACTGTAAAAATACACAGAGCAAGAACATCTAAACAGTGACTGCTATAATAACTTAACCTATGGGTGTAAATAAACACAAATGCTTGGTCTGACCTTTAGCAGGTGCATCATTTCCATCCAACAAAGCAATTGCAGTGACTTCCCATTGGGGCCTATATTCTCCCATGCCACAGGGAGTTGGCTGGGTCTACAGTACCAGATGTGTGTTCCACCCCTAGGAGTGGGCATTATATCCAACTGAAAATTTGCTGGTTGTACATACACTAGATGATCCACTATTGCACCAGCAGGAACATCTTGTCTGGTATGTTGATAAGTGCAACACGTGGGGTCTGTCATTGAGAATTATAGTATTCTCTCCCAGTCATCTGTGTGTTGCCTTTTGGCATCATTGGTGATTTTTAAAATGATAGCTCCAATCCATTTTTATAAAGTATATATTTCTTCTAACTATCTCTGCCATCGACACATCTGTTCATTACCCTAGAGGTACAGAACCTTGAATTGTAACCAAACACAATGGGTTGGCATGGTGAGTGCAAAACCAATAAGCACAGCCAAGAGATGAAAAAATGGAGAAAGGTTTATTACCTGCAGCAGGTAAGGAGTGTATAGTTCTTAGTCTAAGAGCAACACTCTTCACTAAAGGAAGCACGAGAATTTTATTAAATTTATTGAGGATTTTATTTTATTGAGGAAGCATATTCCTACAGAAAAGCACTTTGAGGGCAGGCTCATTACAGTTTAAGGTCTACATTGCTAAGCATGCTCATTTTAAGGTCATAGTTCAAGAATCAGAGATGACAGACACATTCCTGGGCATCCTTACCTCAGTATCATGAAGTATGTTTGAAAAGTGAAAATGGTAGGCAGGAACTGTGATGGTTAAGGAGGGATTTAGAATCACCACGGAAACCCCTCTGAGGGTGTTTCCAGAAAGTTTTGCCTAAAGTAGAAGGCCCACCATCCATGGCAGCACCATGGGTTGGGTTCTTGAGCTGAACAAAATGGAGACTATGAACTGAACAGCAGTATTCATCTTTGCTCTCTGAACATGGATGAGATGTGACCAGCTGCCTTACACTCCAGCTGCCATGACTTCCCTTCCTGTCCCTATGATGGACTGCCCTTAAATAGGGAGCTAAAGTAAACCCACCCTTCTTTAACAAAGCATCTGTCGGTTTATTTTTATTTATGGCAGCAAGGAGACAACACGGGAATGTCTGAGCATGCTTATCTTGTGTCAAGATGACAGGCAAGAAGACTTCTGACCATGTTCATTTTTTTTTCCCAAAAGTTTTCGTTAAAAACAAAGGATACTTAAAAAAAAATACGATTTTTATTTTATGAGTATATTGCCTGCATGCATGTAAATGCACCCGTGTCATACAATGCCTGTGGAAGTCAGAAGAAGGCGTTAGATTCCCCTGGAACTGAAGTTACGGATTGTTATTACCTGCCATGTGGGTGCTGGGAATCAGACCCAGCTTCTGTGCAAGAGCAGCCAATGCTCCCAACCGCTGAGACATCTCTCCAGCCCCAACCAAAGGATACTTTGAAAGTGCCTTAAAGAGTTTGTCCCTAAGGGCACCTGCCTCTATGTAGCTGCTAACAGAATGACTTTCATCTAATACTCTGGTTGTGGGCTGGTGTGACTTAGGTTGAGTGTATGTGACCTCTGGAAGTGTATATTCAGAGGTCATCTTCCTGCTTAATGGAGACTCCTTCCCACACAGACCATGCTTTTAATGCTCATCCCCCACTGCATTTTTCTCTCAGGTACTTATCTAGTAAACTAATTTGCTATTTTTCACTTGTTATCTTCACAAACATGCTCCAGGAAATCTGGGTGTGTTGTCTGTTTTGTTCTCTGTCTCTGGAATCTATCCAGAACAATGCCTGGTGCATAATGAATGTTCAACAAATATTGGTTGAGTGAATTTTCATATTCTGAAAACATAATGTGTTCAATTTTTGCCTCCTGCTCCTGAGCCCAAATATTTAAAGCAAAAGAGGGAATTATGACTGAAAACAAATATATCAAGAAATTAGGGGAGGATGGCTCAGCAGGCAAGCCTGAAAACCTGTGTTTGATTCCCAGAACTCACATAAAGGTGTAAGGGGAGAACCAACTTCACAAAATTGTCCTCTGACCTCCACATGCATGCCATAGCTCTAGAATTCCCACGCCATGTATACAAACAATAACAAACAAATTGAAAGAAAATAGTACCTAAAGTGACAGTGGAAAGAAGATGGCAAGTTGGTGATAGGAATTAGTCTCCACTTCCAAAATATAACAGAAAATATTTTAAAGACAGAAAACTGGGATCACAAAATTAGTCATCAGACAAATGTACTTTGGAGAGGTACTGCTCATCCAAATTGTCTTCCCGGTTGGGGAATGCTCTGACCTCTGCTGTAGGAACCCAAATGGGGACATGCTGTTTTTCTTCATCCTTTGGTAAATTTACCTAGTCCCAGCACAACAGGTGCTGCCACTCAGGTCCTTCATTTTAAACATCTAAAACAAAGATGGGCAAGACATTAAAAATAGGATTGTAGCCAACAAACAGTAGCACCTGTTGGGAAACTGGTAAAGGCCTATTTTCATGTAGCATGAAGTGCCAGTGAGGACAAGACTTAGTTACCTCCTTGGCAACTGCTGTGGGATCAAAAGGGTAACTTCATGGCAGCTGCTTAGGATTAAGGCAAGGATAGAAACCAGGGGATCTTCCTTAACTATGTTTAAAAAAAAAAAAATTTGCTGTAGTCACAGGGCTAAAAATCTGAAACTAAACTCGGTATTTGATCCTGCTGGTTTCTAAATTGTGTGAGTTGTATTCACTGATGCACCAAATTTTTACGTGAAAAGAGGAAACATTAGGAAAAGAACAAGATCCATAATGTTGAGGTGTGACATTTGGAGGAATGTGAATAAAGGCAAGCATCAGGAAGATGTATTAAAGTGGATTGTGTTGGTGGTCAACCAGGAAGAGAAGTTTCAAACTTCAGATGTTATTGAGTATATCAATATGGGCTCAACCCACAGATTCTGTGGTGTGTTGAGCTGCTAAGAGTGGTTTTAGCTATTTGCTTGACAAGTTGAAGAAACTGAACTAGTGACAGTGGGCACTCCAGTAACATGTTAGAACAAGTACGGAACATCTTTAGGAACTAGGAAGCTGGAGGAAATTGATCATGTTATTGCTACCCACAAAGCCACAGTACTCCTGGGCAAAGATTCAGACTCCAGTATCTTAAGACTTAAATAGGTAAAAGGAATAGTAAACAATTATACCTAAGGTCAATAAATCAAGATAAAGTATAAGAAAACATGGAGGTAATTCAAATAATTTCAGATCTGACTTGTTGCATTATAAGTCACTTGAAACATTGTAGGTTAGGAATTCAGGAAAAGTTTGACCAGGCATCGCTCACTAGGAGTCACATGCACAGTTGCAAGAAACAGGAATAGCAGAGGCCTCTATATGTGATCTTCCTGGGCACACTACTTTGAGCTCCCACACAGCATGGCAGCCCAAGGGAAGTCAGATTGCTGTGTAGTTACTGTGACTGAGGGTTGCAGAGCAAATACACCACAACAAAGCAAAGTGAAGATGTGATACCTTTCACCAGCTGGGGTCAAAATTCTCACAGTGTCACTTTCACCAGACTCTGTTGGTTGAAGTAGTCATAAAAGCTCACAGAATTTCTGCTGGATCCAAGAGTTCCGGGGTTCTTGGCAAAAGTGCTGTTTGACAAAGTTCCAGCCAAAAGCCGATGACCACTGCTCTTTTGGTGCATATCCTTTCCCAAATTAATCCTTGTTTTAGTAATCTTTATAACCTTCTCTTTTTTAAGTATTCTGATGACCAACTCTGATGAAGGAATGGGAAACTAAACGGGGGAAATCTCTGCCTTTGCAGAATTATCATGTTATTGAAACAAAACGAAAATAGAAAGATAGACGACTTCCTCTTACAACTACGACGTCTTTGGGACCTGCATTTGTGATTAATAATGAGGTTTGGTTTCCCCCAAAAGGAAAATATAGCTTGCAATCTCTAGATGGCCTGCTGCCTTTTACAGGAGTTTATGATTTTAATCCTGAACAAGGAACTATTGAGACTAAACTTTAGTATAAGGAAAAACTACTTAGCTTAGGGAAACTCCCTCTTGGATAGAAAGATTTGCTAGGTCAGTAAAAAGCTGTTCGTGCATGACCTAGAAGTAGATAATAATCATATGACTCAAAGAGTACAAAACGTTCAGGAAGAAACAGCAAAAGGGAGAGGAAAAAGATAAATTGGAATATTGGTTACACAATAAATAAAGAATTGGTTATTCCCATTCCCATGAGAAAAATAATTCTCTCAAATATACATGCCTACCTGTAAATATTAAATTCAAATAATTAAAGGGAAAATGGGGATGGGCTGTCTTACACTTCTGTGATAAAATAGAAACCGCAAGGCTATAAAGAAAACAGTGAAGACATTGCTTGGCTATGTTAAGAAAACATTGAACTTTGTACTTTCCTTTTACTGTGATTATTGAAAAATATTGTACACTGAGAAACACTGTGCAAACTCATGGTTTGATTTGTGGTCTGATGCTATGCTGTTACTGTAAGCTTTCTAATTATAAATAAAGGCTGTAGAAGGCTGCTTTCAGAAGAAGAGAAGTAAAAGACATTCGGGCTGACCTTCCCTGAGAGGGTCAGTCAACAGCCTCTACTAGAACTGCAATTGTGGTTTCTGGTATAGTCATTTTTACCGCTGCAGTTACCTTCACCCCTTCAGGCCCCGGACTCAGCTGGAGTTGGACTCAAGCAAATTTCAAATGGAGAGAAGAAGGGGCCCATCTGTCACTGGAAGGAATGTCCAGATTGTACTGTAAGAACAGTTTGAGTTGGAAGATGGGCTTCCCAATGAGATGCAAAGTGAAATACATTTATGAAGTGTTCTTACCAAAGATATGTAATCAGAACCTAACTGACCAATAGACCTAATTGCTGAGTTCCAGAAAATTCAGGAAAGAACACAAGGAACCAGTTAGTCAAAAGATGACATTCTACAGACAATGGGCTAGTTTCTCCAAAAAGCTAGTTATTAGGAAAAAAAGTTTAGTGACTCTGATAGTTCTCTAGATTAAATAAAATTCAAGACACATAGAATATTTGAACCTTGATTGGATCCTGTTTCATCAAGAATCAAATCTGGGAAAACTGAAGAAATGTGACTGTTGTATTAGGTAACATCACAGACTTTTGAATTGTCTTGAACATGATAATGTTATTGTAGCTATGCTTGAGTGTGTTGTCTTTGATTTTAGAATATCCATTTTGAACTGTACCTGAGGGATGAAAGATGGATTACCCTAATATTCTTACTTTAAAATTGCTCAGTAAAAAAATACCTTTTACATACACATACCTCAGTAGAGCATATGTAGTTAATAAGATGAGGATTTGGAGAAGGGACAGTTGGGACTTGATGGAATAATGTTGGCATTGCCTACACGCTTACCACAGGTGTGTGAATAATCTGTGACCCAGACTATGGAGCTGTCCTTGCTATGTACACCTGGACACCACTCTTGGCCAAAAGTCAAGGTATTGAATGTAGCTATTCCTTGATATGGAATTGTGTCTTGGAAAGTTACCAGAACTATAGGATTCGCGTATTCAGAGATTTCTATAAAATTGTCCATGTGTTCTTAAAGGCCTGAGAGAGCATGCTCTGTATTCAAAACACAAATTTTCTGCAATTCCATATTAAAGAAAAATGTGATTATATAAATCTCTACTAAATAAAAATATCAATTTGGTAGTGCAATAAAAAGAAAGGAAATACTGATATATTGTGGATGAACCTTAAAAACATGATGAAGTGAAAGATTCACCGAGCTGCATGTCATTAAAACTCTATTTGTACAAAATATCTGGAACAGGCGAATCTAGAGAGAGGTTTGTGATTGCCTAAGGCTGGGCAGGGTTTAGGGGGAAATGGGGTATGACTGCTAAGAACTACAGGGTTTCTGTAGAGGGCGACAAACTGTGGCGATAGTTACACAACTCTATTCTAAACCATGTATCATGCGCTTTAAATCTGTGAACTGCAGGTTGTGATAGGTAAATTAAATCTCTGCAAAACTGGTGTGTTTTCTTTTGTTTCTGCGTGGGTAATAAGGTGTGCTCAGATCCCATCGAAACTGAATTATGTAACTCCATGTTAAGGAAAACGAAAGAGAGTGGTGACCATTTTAAGAGTGCCAGGAAAATATGAACTGGAATCCGGGATTTCAGAGTGGAATCTCGAGACTTTCGCACTGAATAAGATCCGGGGATTCAAAGCCACAGTTTGCAACCCTCCCACCCCAGGGGCGGGTGGGCAGAGAGAGATGGAGGAACCCGGGGAGCGGGCAGCGGGGGCCCTGACACTCGCCACCGCGGAAGGCCTCAATCTGTGGGGTCCTAAAACGGCACCCCGCGCATCCCAATCCTGCCTTGCTGCGCGCCCTGCCCCAGGCCCAGCCCCGTGCGCTTGCGAGGGGACCCGGTGCCTGAGCGGAGCCTGCGCAGCCGCATCCGGACGCTGGGGGGCGCGGGGGTCCCTAGAAGCCAGCCGGTCGGCGGAGGCCTCCCCGCCCCTGCGCGCCACGCCCAGGCTCCTCCTCTTCCCCTCCATGGCCGTCCCGCCCTCCCCTACAAACCCAAACACTCCAGGCTTCTGCTGCGCGTGATCCTCCTGCCATCGCCGTCGCCGCCGCGTCCTCCCGCTCCGGCGTGATCACCCCGAGCTCGCGCCGCCCCCGGCCAAGACATGCTGCTGCTGGCCGCCGCCTGCCTAGTGGCCTTCGTGTTGCTGCTCTACATGGTGTCCCCGCTCATCAGCCCCAAGCCCCTCGCGCTGCCTGGGGCGCACGTCGTGGTGAGTGGCCTCCTGTTGCTGCGCTGACCCTCGGGCCGCTCCGCCCGCCTTGGCCACCCGGGTCGCAGTCGTTTCCGCTGTGGTCTCCGGGAAGGGACGACCAAATGGGGAGGGTCACCTGCCGGCGGACCACCCTGGCACTGCCCCTTCGGGCCGGGAGCCCTCGGCGGCATCTGGCTCCTCCCCGAGCTGTAGAGCGTTGTCACCGGGAAAGCGCGAGCAGGTTCCCGGGATTCCCGGGGCCCCGGAGCTGCTAGTCTATCCCCAGAGCATCCCTGCGATGTGGGTATTTGGATCCTCAGTTTTTCCGATGAGTAAACACAGAGGCAGAGAAACTTCGCCAAAGATACTGAGGTTGGCTGACTTGCAGGGTGAGGGCGCGAACCCGGGTGGGAGCCGCCACGGCGGAGTCCTAAAGGAGCCCGCCGTAAAGAGGGAAGGTTTGGGCCTCCAGGACCGGTCGACGCTGCTGGTGACTGGAGGGTGGTCTGTGTGAGTGCCCTATAGAGTCAAAGGATTCCAGGAAGTGACACACCTGGGGGGAAATTGCTCGGCTGCAGCTGGCCTGCTTTCGGACAGCGGTGTTGGAAAGCTCCAGTCTAGTCCACCCCGCTTGTCTCTGAGCTCAGCCCGGGCTTTGCTGTTTGATGCTCCACGGCTATCCTTTACCATCTTGTCAGAGTTGGAAGGATGACCTAACCAACATGGTAAAGGCTGTTAAGACTGAAGGAGATAAAAATGTTAGGTTTCAGGCCGGAAGTTGGCTAGGTCAGCGATTCCCACTCTGCCAGTTTCAGTATGCCGCCTCCCTCCCTGGAGTCCAGAGCTTCATTGGACGTAACTTTCTTAATCAGGTTTACCTATTTGGACCTCAAAGCTCTAGGCACACTGAGGCAGGGAATTGTGAATAAGGACAGCTAGTTTCTAAGCTGGTAGCATGCATTCCCTGGGTGCCCTAGGTGACTTATGGCTGCCATCCAGTCCCTACTCCGCCGTTGGGGTGGGTATTTATTTTAGAGTGGTTTAACCTGAGCAAGGGTTTGTGACTGACAAACTTTATTTTCCTTAGTTTCTCCTTTGTAAAATTAGTGGTTTATTCCCAGTTACTGTTGTTCATGATGTGGAAGGCAAGGAGTTATTAAAGAGAGGAAGCTAAACTTCACACACGCTAAGTTCAGAAAGTTTTGCATCCACAAAAGAACTTCTCAAAGTCATGGCTTTAAAGGTTGAATTTCAGAGCTGAAGAGATGGCTCAGTTGGTAAAGTGCTCATCGTGCAAACACGAGGACCTGAGTTTGTGACCCCAGCACCCCTCTACAGGGCCTACATGCCTATAACTCTAGCCACTGTGAGGGTGGGGCAGAGGCAAGTGCATCTCTGGAGCTCACTGGCCAGCCAGTCTAACCACATCAGTGAGCTCCAGGTTAAGTGAGAGACCCTTTCAAAAAATGAGGTGGAGGGTGAGTGATATCTGACACTCACTGATATCACCCTTTGACTTCTACATTCACATATACACATGTGCACATACATGTATACATATGTAAACCACCTTACACATTAAGTTGAATTATTTCTGAACTTGTGCTTGCAGAGAATAACTTGGGGAGGAATAAGTCAAAGTCAGAATGAAAATTTTGATTCAATATTTACAAGACAGTTTTAGCCAACCTTGACACTAATCCTTAACCTGACAATAGTCTCTCTGTCCCCATTCCCCACCAAGCTCCAGATCACAGATGAGATCAGAGCTGTTGAGATAGACCAAGAATTTCTTATTCAGCATCTTGCTTTAACGCTATACATGATATATATATATGATTTTCTATAGGTATATATCACTATATATGTGACATGACATGAAAAATTAACACGATGTCACCATCTGTTTTTTTTTTAATATCCTAAGAAGAACAAAGTGTAATTTATTTCAGATTTGTTATTAGGACAGGGAGCTGATCTCAGACTGCCTGCCTTCTGTGAGCATAAACAACTTGTAATTATTTGTTGCTTTGTTTTTAGGACTTTTCTCATATGCTGGTGCCCTCTGTCCGTTCAGAGTAGTTTAGCTGCCTCAACACGTGTCTTACAGGCTAGATGTTTATTTCAGTCTTCCCTTTTTCAGTTGACCAGGAGCAGTGCTCCCAGCGCAAGCAAGCTTATGGTACCCTTACTAAGAACTATATGGTGTGGTTAAAGAGACAGAAACATTTACACAGTGCTTGCAATTATTAGTAAGACAGAGTAGTAAAGTAAGGATATTTAACTGTTATCTTTGGTCCCACCTGAGTTCAGTCAATTCAGTATACATTTAATACTTTCTTCAGCCATTGTGAAAATCTCTGGTAGTTTTCATAATATTCAGAATAATGAAGTCTGGAATTAGCCTAAGTGTAGTCTTAGCAATCTCCCAAGAACTAGCTGCCTTGGCTAGAATGCCCCTTCCTATGCTATGTAATTCAAAACCTGAAGTACCCTTGTTATGGAGCAGATTATAAATTATGGGGTTTAGACCTTTTTTTTTTTCTTTCAAGTAAATTGACACTGGTTGCTTTATATCATGGCTAATATTTACGTGACAACTTTGAAGCATGTAAGTTTTCTCAATAATCTCATTTCTGCTTCCATTAATTTACTGGATAATAAGTAGGGAAATTTTGCTTAAGAGTTTTTGGCATCATTTTTTTTTTTCAGGGAAATGGTATTCTATACCATTCTGTAAATTAAGGTAGGTATTTATTTAGCAACTGCTCATGCAAGGGACTAATGATATTGGCTGTCTTGGTATTTGTCCATAATGAACTGATAGTCTGGCCTTGATATGACTAAATATATAGCCAAGATATGACTAAATAACGGTGAAGGATAAATAGTGACAAATAAGGGCAAGATCGAGTGCCACATTCAAGAAAAGCTTCTTGGATGAGGTGACATTCAATGGTGTGTGTGTGTGTGTGTGTGTGTGTGTGTGTGTCTGTGTGTGTCTGTGTGTGTGTATGTGTGTGTCTGTGTGTCTGTGTGTGCCCACATGCATGTGCAATGTGTGTATATGTACCCTCGGGCCAGAAGAAGGCATCAGATCCCATGGAGCTGGAGTAGTGGATGCTTGTGAGCCGCCTGACCTGGGTACTGAGATCTGAACTTGAGGTCCTCTGGAAGCGTAGCAAGTGCCCTTAACCACTGAGCCATCTCTCTAGCCCCAGGAGGGGACATTTAAACTGAGCTCTTCAGGGACTGCAAGGTTGGAAAGTGCAGGCATGGAGGTGATGGAGGGACATCTCAGCAGCAAAGGCAGCATTGTAAAACGCTTGGGTGTTTTTAGAGGCCCTGCTAAGTGCTATAGAATTGTAATATCTGATGAAATTTAATAAGCCAGAACAGCTCATAAAACATCCTGAAAGTGATAGCAAAAACCTCTTTGGAGAAAACATTTAGCCTAGACAACGGGTATATTTTTGTAGTAATCCTCAGTAGATATTTGGCTAATTATCCACCAAGTAAATCTCTCCATTGAGGGGGTCAAGATGAAGCTAGAGAGAAATGAGGAATATCTTCAAGTAACACACAGATACATACCTTTTGTGCAGGGCTTCATGGTGATATGAACATCATCGTAGGAGAGTATTCCTTTTGGTGTGGTTTAAAGTAGGGAATGAGTACCTTTTGATAGGGCTTTTTTTTTTTTTTTTGAGACAGAATTTGCTGTGTCGATGAGGCTGGCCTCCATTTCAGAGATCCACCTTCTTCTGCTTCCCAGTGCTGGCATTAATGACTCTGTACCACCACATCCCGCCTGATAGAGCTCTTTAATGTAGTGTTGTGAAGGCTTTTAGTGTTTAACACAGACAGCATAATATATGGGATGCTGTATGTTTGTGTGTTGTATGTGTATCTGAGCATCAAACCCAGGCCCATGCCAGACAAGAGCTGTACCACTGACTTACATCCCTAGCCCTATAACATGTTTTCTTAGACCTAGTCTTGTGTAGATGTGCAGTAGGAAATGAGATTCATTTGTAATTAGAATCAGAAGCAGATTAATGTATTAATTTTTAGCTAGAATTATAGGGTACTTCCCCTTTGGTGACCTCAAAACAGTTTTAGATATGCAGTTTATAGCTCAGCACTGAAAACAGTCCAAGTGGGAGGTCTTGCTGACAGCACTCATTCCAAACAATAAACTTGGTATGAAGAGGTTGTAGTTCTTGTTGATTTTTTTATTGTTTTTGTTTCTGTTTTGTTTTGTTTTGTTTTGTTTTTGAGGCAGGGCCTCATGTAGTTCAAGCCAGCGGCATGGTGAAACTAACCATGTGTAGCTGAGAACGATTTAGACCTTGAACTCTTTGAGTTTTTTGAGACAGGGTCCTCCTGTAGCCCCAGCTGGCCTGAAACTGGCTATGTAGACCACACTGGCCTCAATCTCACAGAGATCCACCTGCCTGTGCCTCCCAAGTTCTGGGTTTAAAGGCTTGAGCTACCTCGCCTGGCTGACCCTAAACTCTTGATCCATCTGCCTCCACTCTCCTGAGTGCTGGCATTGCAGGCAGGTAAGTATAATCATACGCAGCTTGTAGATGTGTTTTTAAAGCCCTATGGTTCTTTTTAGTACGGGAGATCAAACCTAGGCCTCTTGAATATTAGGCAAACACTCTACCACTGAGCTGCACCCCGAGTTCCATTACAATTATTTTAAACAAACTTTATTCAGAGGAGAGGTTGCTGAGCTGATCTTGCTTTGTAGGTTACAGGAGGTTCCAGTGGCATTGGAAAGTGCATCGCTATCGAGTGCTACAAACAAGGAGCGTTTATTACTCTGGTTGCACGAAATGAGGTAAGTCTTCTTGTCCATTATTACTAATAGCATCAGGCCAAGAGACAGTCCTCAGTGTCTTGGTATCTGCACATGTGTTGGAAAGTGCTTACTGCCCTAGTCTGAGGTATGATTCCTGAACTACTGGTTCTTTCTTGTATTAAGACCCAGGACTGCTCTGCTGAAGTTAGAACAGCTCAGCAAACACTTATTTGTGGCCATTAATATATCTGGAACTGTCATGCTAGATAGTGCCTAACTTGAGAGGAGAGTCAAGGTGTGGTCAAGTAGCACACCTGGATGAAGGAAAACAGATTTGCTGGCAGCAGCACAGAAGTTGATACAGGACAGTGTGGAGGTGTTTATCTGTCATTTTTCTCTATACTTTATTTATGACATGATATACATCTATGGTGAGGTCCACCTACCTCAGCGGAGACTCATCCCCCCCCCCCATATGTGTAGCAAAGCAGTTTTTCTGTGTTCAGCCAATGTGCATTCTGCTTCCTTTATCTGAGGGTCTGTAGTCTTGCTGAAGTTGCTTTCATAGTATAAAGCAGCAACTGTGTACACACAAACAGACCTGAAGTCCTTTTGGGAGTCAGGGTAGTGACTGTGGCTGTATGGTCACTGCTCTTGGACACAGAGGATAGAGCTTAGTATGTAACAGGCTGCTAGCCAGTTCCATTGAAAGAAGATATGAAAGGAAAGACTTGGGATATACTCATTTGGTAAAGTGCTGAATCAGCTCTACATAAAACTGGTCATGGAGATGCATGCCCACAGTCCTAGTACTGGGAGGTGCAGACAGAAGGATCAGAAGTTCAATCAAGGTCATGCTTGGCTATACAGCTAGTTACAGGCCAACCTGGTCTACATGAGATCCAGAGAGGGGTTTGGAGGTGAGGAGAAATGAAGGAAACAATAACAGAATGGAATGTGGCAACGTTGAGGGTATTAACTGCCAAGTTAGGGGTTGATCTGCTGAACAGGGCCTATGTGGAAGGCGGGCCAGGAAGGATCTCTTCGGAAAATATATAAATAATGGCCCATAATTAGGCTTAGCTATCCATAATGTCTTTCTTTTTTTTTTTCTTTTTTTTTTTTTGCCTTTTGCCTTTTGCCTTTTGCCTTTTGCCTTTTTGAGATAGACTGTCCCTGTAGCCCCAGCTGACTTGGAACTCGCTATGTATAGACCAGGCTGGCCTTGAACTCACAGGGATTCGCCTGCCTCTACCTCCCCAAGTGCTGGGATTAAAGGCATGCACCACCATGCCTAGCCTGATATCCATATTTTTTTTGTTTTTTAATTTTAAAGAATTTAATAACCACATGATTAGAAGAACCTTTCATTACAGCTTTAACATATTCAGTAACACATTCCAGAGCAAGGATACATCTCTTTCAAAGGTGGCTGTAAATTTTTAGGTTCGCCGTTGAATTAATAACAGTCATACAATATTGAACTCAGTATAAACCCCTGGAGAGAGGCCTGTGGGTCCTCCATGTTTCTTTTAAAAACCAAGAAAAGCAGAATAAACTACTCCATTTTGATTCACACCTTGATTTCTTTAATGAGTTAGTTTGCTTTGGCATGGAAGCTACCTTACACGAATGGAAACACAGATTTAGTAAAATGTCACTTTGTGAGTTTTTTAGAAAGGTCAGAATTTGACATAAGACCAGTGAATGATCAGATGTGAGGCTGATGTCACAGCTGGAAGGAGCTCACACAGGGGTCCTCACATCACCAGTGTTGAATGTACAGAGAGCTTTCTAGAGTGGAGATAGTCTTTCATTTCTAATACAGTTTTTTACTGAAGTTTTGTCCAAGTCAAGTTGTATATATCTTTATTAACAGAATGGCATTATTTTGTCATAGATATATTCATGTTTGGAAACTCTACTTGTCCTTTGGAAGACCCCTGTATTAGTCACTTTTCCATTGCTGTGATAGAAACACTAACCAAAGCAATTTATAGAAGGGAGAGTTTATTTGAGCTTACGGTTCCAGGGGAATTACAGTCCCTCATGGCAGGGAGGCATGGTGGCTGGAGGTGGCTGGAGCAGGAGCAGCAGAAGCTGACCTCTCATGTTATCACATAGGCACAGGAAACAAGAGAGCAACTGGAGATCTGGCAAGGCTTAAGAATTCTCTAAGCCCACCTCCAGTGATGTGCTTCCTCTAGGATAGCCACACCTTCTAAGACCTCCCAAAACAGCGCCATCATCTGGGGACAAAATGTCCAAATACTTGGAGCCTGTGGAGGACATTTTCATTCAAACCACTACAACCTCCCCCCCACCTATTTGAGACAAGGTCTATTGTAGTCCAGGCTAGCTTGGAACTCACTATGTAGCTGAGGATGACCTTATTGAACTTCTGATTCTCTTGTGTGCTACCATGCTTGGTTTTATATGGTGCTGGGGATTGAACCCAGGGTTTTTTGTATGTTGTAAGAGCACTTTATCACCTGAACCACATCCCTAGCCTCTCCCCTTTTATTCTTTTACAGTTCTCAAGTTATATTTCAATTACTTTATGACAAATTAAGATTCTTTAAACTAATACCTGTTTTCTTGAAATAAGTAAACAAAGTAGAGACCTTGGAAGAATTACTCAGTTGTATGGGCAGTTTTGCAGGTCTGTAAAGTAATTTTGCAAGTAGCCAGATGCAAGTTTACCTAGTTCTTCTAAAAAGTGATTTTTAGGGGCTGGAGAGATGGCTCAGTGGTTAAAAACACTGTTCTTGTGGAAGACCCAAGTTCGAATCCCAGCACCCACATGGCAGCTAACGAGTGTCTGTAACTCCAGTCCCAGGGGATCTGACACCTCTTCTGTCCTCTGTAGGCATTGCACAACATGGGTGCACTTACTTACATGCAGGCATAACACTCATACACATAAAATAAAAATAATAAATTATGTGATTTTTACTCTGTTTTTATAGAATATTGGATTATCTTATAAAGCCTTCTTAGCATAGAATCACATAAACCTTTGGCTTTGTGAAGCACTTTGTACCAATACAGTTGCTCTAACTCTGTGTTGCTACTAAATAATGTCAGGTTAAAATTTCCAGGATGACCAGGCCTGGAGAGATGGCTCAGTGGTTAAGAACACTGAATGTTCTTGCAGAAGACCCGGGACCACCCACATGGCAGCTTACAACTGTTCTTAACTCCAGTTCCAAGGGACCCAACACCCTTTTCTGACCTCCATGGGCATTGCACGACATGAGTACTATTACATACATACAGGCAATACACACATACACATAAAATCAAAATAAAAAATAAAAAATTTAAAAGAAATTTCTAGAATGACCAAACTGTTAATTGGGATTTTGAGATCCATTTATTTTTCTTTTATATTTCTTTACAATGAATTTTAAAACATGCTCTGACTTATTTACAGCCACACATATTTTGCTTTTTTCCTAAACCTATGGTTAGCTGCTCAGTGTTTTAGAGAATATAATATTTATGCAAGCAAATTTTTTCTTACTTTTTTAGCAAATAAACAGACATATCGCCAGATATAATATTTTCTGTATTGCTTTTAGGACAAGCTGCTGCAGGCGAAGAAAGAAATTGAAAAGCACTCTATTAATGACAAGCAGGTAAGGTGTATCCTCAGAATGCATGTTCTGTGCTGATTAAAACAGTTGTATAAAGGGAAAAGGGAATTGCATCTACTGGGACTAGACTACTGAAAGCACTTTGATTTCCCTAATTAAAATGTATTCTAGGCTGCTCTTAAAAAGGTGAAATTGTTTGAAATGACTAGGATTTCAGATTATTACAGAAACAGAAAGGTATGAACAAGCATGGACTACCATACGTACCCAGAGGTGACCAAATAAATGTTTTGGAAAATAATTTCACTTCAGTTACTTGGATGGACAAGTACTAGGGAGTAGCTGGAGGTGCCGACACCACAGGAGACTCAGACAGACCGAGTAAAAGGGCTCTAGTGCGGGAGGGAGGCTATGGGAGGGTGCCATATGGGAAGTGGGTATATAGATGAATAAGATTGTTTGGGATGCTCTGTGTGATATACACACATAAAAATCAACAAATTAAAAAAAAATAAGTTACATTTGAGGAGGAAGCATAAAAATTTACATCATGTTAAGTAGTAGAGGATCTAAACATTACCATTGAAATCTACCTGATAACTTTATAGCCATACACAGGTGCCAAGGATCCGAGTGCAACTGACCATGACTAGTAATAATCAGATACATACAGATTAGAGACGCATGCTTCAACATCTAAGTGTTATTAGCAAAAACAATGAGTCTTTCTGTAAGAAACAGTTATTTTAAAATGAAAAGGAGATTTTCTTTAAAGGGTAAAAACTCATTCAATTTTATGTCTTTTCAATTTTGTGTCTTACACGGTTAATACTGAGTTCAATATTGTATAACTGTATTAATTCAACTGTGAACCTAAAAATTTTATGGCCACTTTTGAAAGAGATGTATCTTTGCTATGGAAATTGTTATTGAGTATGTTAAAGCTGTAATGAAATGCTTCTTCTAAAAAAAATAAAAAACCTTATACAAATACTTAAAAAAAGGCATTTGAAATTTTTTTGTTAATTTTTTTTTTAGTTGGGTAATTTGGGGAACTAAATTTATCTACACTGTGTGACCCTAAATAGTAGTTTGTATGTATGTATATATACATGTATGTGCATGTATGTATCTATGGGGATATGTGTGCACCTGTATAGACATGCATGTGGAGGCCACAGATCAATGTTGAGGCCTTCCTTAACTCCATCTCCCTTTTTTGAATGTGGAGCTCACCAGTTCAACTTTCTAGCTGCCCAGCAACCTCCCATTAATATTCCTGCCATTTTCCCAGCACTGGGATTACATGAGTGTTCCACCCTGAGCGGGTTTTTACATGGGTGCTGGGGGGGATCCAAACTCATGTCCTCATGCTTGTATAGCAAGCACTTTACTGACTGAACCATCTCCCTAGCCCTCTAAAATAGTATTTTTTTAAACTCCTGTATCTTTTCGAACTTTATGACAGCATTTTTATTTTCTTAATCTACTTTATTGAGGTAATTCACACACTGTGCAATTGTTCTATTTAAAGTGTATAACTTGTGGGCTTTCATACAGTGATAGACTTTCATAACCATAACCACAAATTTTAGAATGTTCCCAACACTGCATTCGCCATATCTATTAGCAGTCACTCCCCATTCCTGCCCTACCCCTCCAAGCCCTAGGCAGGTGCTGATAAATTTTCCAGCTTGATAGATTTATGTGACATTGTGACATTTTTATGCACTCTTATGCAACTTTATTTCTTCATTCTATATTATTTTAAAAATTCATCTATGTTGCTGGATAAAATAGTTTACTTTTTTCTTTTTTCTGAAATGGGTTCTTGATGTACTGTCCTGGCTAGGCTCAAAGGATTCTTCCATCTCAGCCTCCTGAGTAGCTGGGATTAAAGGCATGTATAGCTATACCTGGCTTCATTTTATTTCTTTTTTTATTGCTGTGCAATATTTAGTTGTATGTCTAAACTACCCTTTGTTCATTTGTTGTACAGTTGATGGACACTTAAGTTGCTTTCACTTTTTGGTGTTTGCTAGTTTGCTGCTATGAAAGTTTTTCATTCTGTCTCTTTGTGTACATATTCAAAAAATGTAACATTCCTGGGACAGGACTGCTGATGTGTGTGTATATCAGCCTTTACTCTCTCCAAAGTGGTTTGGTTCCCATTTATAGTGGATGGCAGTTCCTGTTACTTCACATCCTTGCTGACTTTTGGTGTTGGCAGACTTTTAATTTTGGCCTTTCTTATAGTGCTGGGGATGGAACCCAGGGCCTTGTACATGCTAGGCAAATGCTCTCCTACTGATCTAGGTTCTTAGCAATTTTATAGTGGTTTTAATCTGCCCCCCAATATGCTAGAATGGTAGGAATACAGCTCAGTTAGTAGAGTGCTTACTTAGCATACATGAAGCCTTGTGTTCAATTCTCAACATCACATAACACTGGGATGGTATTGGTGCCTGTAACCCCAGACCTTGGCAGGTTAAGGTAGGAGGATCAAAAGTTCAAGGTCATCCTCAGTTGCATAGCAAGTTTGAGGCTGACTTGGGCTACATGATACCATCTCAAAAAGAAGAGATATGTTAGAGGTATTTCTATCTCAGTAAAAGCAGGTCTGCCGCATCCTCCTTCTTTCAGACCATTCTAGCACTCTGTTGGGTGCCCTACTACTTATTTATTGAATCCCCTGTTATTGAGGTGTTTCTATTCTTTTTTTGGTTCTAGTTTTGATTTTGGCTATTGCGTTCTATGCCAAAGTAAAATTCCTTGCCTACATCTCCTTGTATATAATTTGTGAGGTATTGTCTAGGCCTGTGACCTCTGCTTGTACCCATTTCTCTGAACCTACAGACTCGGGGAAAATAGAGATCTCCAAAACCCCCTATGTCCCTCCCATGTTCATGTACTTAGTGATAAAGGGATATGATGCCAAATTAGGGAGTATGTTTGCTGGCAGCTAAAGGGCAGTGTTGCCTGCCACCTGTAGCATCTCTGTTGAGGGGGTGGGTGGGGGTAGAGGTGGGGGGAAGGGGAGTGATGCTTTGGTGATGCCCCCCCCCCCCAGGGCTTTATTTAGGTCACATGGGAAACAGTCATATTCCATGTCAAAGAAGGGGAGAGAAACAGAGCTACCATGGGCTAGAGTGACCTTAGTCCTTCTTCCTGGGCCAGCTTGTTGCTACCTACTGAGGGGAGGCAGTGCTGAGGGAGATTTTGTTACAGTAATCTGTTATTATTTTTCTTTTATATTTCGCTTGTCTGTGGCATAGATATGATTGATAGTAAATGATGTATACTCTATTAAAAAAGCATTCAAAGGCATGTTTTAAAATTAATCCTATGATTTCTCACATACTTAAAAATATTTTCTATGTGAGGATACGGGAATAAGAATCTGCTTTGGGCATATCGTAGGCCAAGGATCACACCTCTATTCTAGAATGTTCTAGGTTATATTTGTGAAGGAGGCTTACTTTTCTTGGGATAACTGGTATTTCTTCCATTAAATTAAATTTCTTGTGTGTTGTATCAAATGCTAAAATAATAGCACCCCCCCCTCCTCTCTCCTGAGACAGTTTTATTATATTGTCCAGGCTGGCTGGCCCTGATCTCCATTCCTGTGCTCAGATGATCCTCTTGCCTCAACCTTCCAAGTAACTTGGATTATAGGAGCCTGCCACAGTGCCAGGCTTATTTTTTTATTCAGCTTTTCAGTATATCCTTTTCTTTAGTTTTTAAATGTACATACTATGGATTTCTGAGACCAACTTTGCCCTGCTCTGTTTTAAAGTTCCCTCAGCCTTCTATATATATACATATATATATATATTGGTCTTTTTGAGACAGGGTCTCCCTGTAGCCCCAGCTGGCCCAGGAACTCACTATGTAGACCAGGCTGGCCTTGAACTCACAAAGATCCACCTGCCTCTGCCTCCCAAGTGCTGGGAAAAAGGGGTGCACCACCACACCCAGCCTTAGTTTTTAAACATTTTTATTATTTTATTTATTATTTTTGTGTGTGAGAGATATTTGTGAGTATGGGCATACAAATCACACAAATCTTAGCACATGTGTGGTGCTCAAGGGAGGCCTTTCAGGAGTCAGTAGGTTCCAGGGATCAAACTCTGGTTGCTGGGCTTACGCCAGCAAGTGTTTATATTGGGTGAGCCATCTCACTAGCCCACAGTGTGGCCTTTTCAAGCTGGGAGGGAATGGTGCTCATCCCGACTTTGGATACCCTTATTTCCCGGGGCTCTATTGCACCTTTCTTAGAGTCTGCTCAGCTAGTAAAATGAGGTTTAGACACTCAGCTTTCCATTACTGTGGCAAGAGATCTGAGATAATCAGCTGCCTACCATCAGCTTATAAGGAGGAAAAATTTATTCTGGCTCATGCTTCCAGAAGTTCCAGTCAGTGATTGCCTGGTCCTGTTGCTCTTGAATCTATGGCAAAACAAAACAAAGTTGCTCATCTCATGGTGGTTGGAAAGCCAAGAGAGGGAAAGGAAGGGTCAGGGTCTCAATACCCTGTCCTCTCCAGGGCACACCTCAATGGCTGAAATTCTTTTCATATTACCACCTACTTTTTAAAGGTTCCACAGCCTCCCAAGCCTTGAACACATGGCCCCGGGGATCCAAATTGTAGCACCAGGTTTTCCACATTCCTACCTGTTCTCTCTAGCACCCATCCCTGTTCCTTTGACGCAACCCCACACAGGTGCCTGTTGGTTTTTGTGGGTCTGCTTCTATCAATTGCATCAGTAGAATTCACACACTGCAGTTATGCATCTAAATTTGTTCTTTACTGAAAAGGGTTGGTTTTTAATTTTTGAAAAAAATCATTAAAAACAGTTTTAATAGCCTAGCCATGGTGGTGTGCACTTTGTAATCTTTGTAATTTTAGCACTTTAGAAGCTGAGACTGGAGGATCAATGTGAATTCCAGGCTAGCCTGGGCTATATGGTGAGTTCAGAACCAGCTTGGACTACATAACAAGACTTTGTCTCAAACAAACGTACAAAAACCTAGTTTTGATGTCTGCAACATATCTCTGATTTTCTAAACATTTATTGATTTATTATTTATTTTTGTGTGTGTTTGTGTGCATGTGTGTACCTGCATACATGACACAGTGCGTATGGAGATCAGAGGATAACTTGCAGGAGTTAGTACTCTCCTTTTACCATATGAATTCTGGGAATGGAACTCAGGCCATCAAGCTTAGCCAACAACCACCTTTATCTACTGAACCATCTTGCAGGCCCTGATCTGTTTGTTTTTTCTCTCTCCCTCTCTCTAACAGGTGGTACTTTGCATATCAGTTGATGTATCTCAAGACTATAACCAAGTAGAGAATGTCATAAAACAAGTAAGAGGTTGGGTGATTCCAGTGCACTGCTTGGTTTTTTATTGGTTCTTGCTATTTTGCTATGTGGCCTAGAGTTAGTACTGCTTCTCTATAGGTTCATGAGTTTCATAGATACTTATTAGCCTTGTTTTGCCATGCAATGATTCTTCCATTCTCTCATTTAATGTACGTTCTGGAACATTCTTCCAGGCACAAGAGAAGCTGGGTCCCGTGGACATGCTTGTGAACTGTGCAGGAATGTCGCTGTCAGGAAAATTTGAAGAACTTGAAGTTAGTGCTTTTGAAGTAAGTGATAAAGCTTGCTTATCTTGAGTCAAGACAAGATGATGTATCTTATTTATATTTTAAAACAGGCCTATCAAGAACGTCAATTACTTCAGCACCAAGGAAATGAACATTAGATTTGAAATCTTAAGTGCAAAGCATTTTATGGTTGGCAGGACATCACCCATGTTTCTCTTAGTGTTTTGTTGAGCTTTCAACATGGTAATGGGTTTTGAAAGCTTGGCTCTACAAAGTTAAATTACTTTCCTTTCTTATAGAAAGGGAGACTCTGGACCAGTATCATAGGTGACTTGATTCTCATAGGCTTTGGGAAAGCACCATAAACTGATGGATGTATTTAAAGCTTGCACGAGAGCCAGGGCCTAGAAAAAAGCAGAATGATAGTGTGTAAGGTATCCCTATCAACTTGGCATACACAAGGGTTGTCTGAGCTTGTAACGTTCATCTGGAAGGAACGGAGGCGAGACTTGGAAGATAATGTCAACATCTGTGTAAACAATCACTTTGGGAAAATGGTTGTTGGGTTCTGAATACAAAGTAATAAAGCAAAAGACTTGAGAGGTAGCCAGAAAAAGAGGAGTAGGTGTGTGTGTGTGTGTGTGTGTGTGTGTGTGTGTATCTGACTTAGGAGTGTGCATAAGATTATACAGAGTAAGAATATTCAGATGACTGCATCAAGGAATAAGTATTTGTGTGATTTGAAAGCTGAGACCTTGGGAAGTGAGATGTGCTTCAGAGGCAGAAGGAATGGGAATGTTTACATTTCTGTGTGTGATAGCCCTGCCAGTGTAACCACGTGGGTGTTTTACAAAGGTTTAAGTAAGAATAGAAGCTGGCACCAAGCGAGTGTGTGACCCTATCAACAAAGAGGCGAGAACATGGAATGTGTTGTCACAGCTCATTGTGGAGGAATTAAGTGGGTCCCATGTGACTCCTCTGGAAGAGGACTCTTGAGACTGCACCTGCTTTATTCTGGACTTCACCTCAGAAGTCTGTTCTCTCTGCTGACCTGCTTGTAATCCTTTCCTGTAATAGTCTGACTCATGACTACCACTATATGCTGAGGACTTTGAGGCCTTCTAGTGAGTCACCAAGCCTGGGGTGGTTCTGGGGAGCCCCAGTACTTTATCTTCATATTTCCTCCTCATGGTTTTCTTCCTGGTTTCTTGGGACCATCTCTTGTGTTGCTCTAGGATTATGTCAGCTTCATACAAGTGTTCGTTTCTTCTGAGAGGCTGGTGTCCCGTTTTATGTTAGAGGATTTACTCAGATGTCTGGTGACCCTCGGCTGTGCTTTCACACTGTGGCACTGAATGGAGTGTTCTGTGTCCATGGGCAGAGTTTCACTTTGGGCCTTCTCTAGGGTCATTGTTTAGACCATGACTTATGAGGAGTTTCAGAGTCAGTATCTGTAGGTCTTTTTTCTTGGGTTGTTCAAAAGCCCTGGAGAGGAGTCCTAGGCTTCTGCCTAGGAAGTGTGTGTCTGTCCCAATATTGTCAGAATGAAGCAGAGTGGAGTCTGAATTCAGTGTCTAGACAGATGTTCTCCAGCTCTCACTGTATGAAAACCAGTCCTTTCTAGAAATTCTGTTTGCTGCCTGGCAGGAGACCTCTAAGATCTGTTTTTGTGTTGTCCTATATCAATTTTTTTTTAACATGAGGTAAAATTCACATAAAATAATTAGGTTTGTTTGGTTGTTTGAGACACCATCTCTGTGTAGACCAGGCTGGCCTAGAACTCACAGAGATCTACCTCCCTCTGCCTTTCAAGTGCTGGGGTTAAAGGCATGCACCATCACGCCTAGCTTTCACTTATGTTTTTTAAAACAAAACAAAATTCTTAGCTGGGCATAGTGGCTCATGTCTATAACTCCCAACTCTTGGGAAGCTAAGTTAGGAGGACTGTCAGGAGTTTGAGGCCAGCCTGGGCTATGTAGCGAGTTCCAGGCCAGCCTTAGCTACCATATCTCAAAAATAAATACACATGAATAAGCAAACTCTTTACTAACATTTTACTGGGTTCTCTAAAGAGAGCCAAGGTGAACGCAGTATACTATTCTTTTTCAGATACTTTTTAGAACATTTTATTATTCAAACAATATAATGATGCTGAAACATGTTCTAGAATCCCAGCATCCTAACACAGTCATAATTTTCAGTATTTGCCTCTGCAAAACAAAATAGTCTAATATCTCTTGCTTTCTACTTTTTAAAAACGTAGAGCATAAATCTTCCCCCTCTTACTCCTGGCATCTCTAATACTCATTTTTTTAGTTTTTTATAGTTCCTTAATATTCTATCATGCTATCATCGTGATATATACATAGGTTCCCAATTGAGCAGTTTAATTTTACAGAATGATAGAATTAAGACTTTTGAAAAAAAAATTTATATTTATTTTTATTTTTTTATGTGTATGAGTGTATTGCCTGCATGTATGTGAGTGCACCCATGTCGTGCAATGCTGCGGAAATCAGAAGAGGGCTTCAGATTCCCCTGGAACTGGAGTTAAGGATGGTTTGTAGCTGTCATGTGGGTGCTGGGAATTGAACCCGGGTCCTCTGCAAGAGTAGTCAGTGCTCTTAACTGCTGAGCCATCTCTCCAGCCCCTAGAATAAGACTTTTCATGTAGAAAGATGTTAGCACAAGTATCCTCAGATTCTCAATAAGGTTTTAAGGGTCTCAGGAGGAGACAAACATATGCTGTTAGTACTTATGCAAGCTCTTGCCTGTCATTATGCCAGAGCCAATGTGTACTGACTGATCACTTACTGTGTACCACGACCTGTGCTAATGCTTAACTTGTATTTCCCCTTTTAATCCCTTTAGTAATATCCTGAAGTAATTCCAAGATTAACCTCATTTTCAGCTGGGAAAATGGGTATATCCGTGTCTGTTTCATTCATCATAATGAACCTCACATCCATACTGTACTGTTAATGACATCCTCTCTTTATAATCTTTCTTTACCTTGTAACTAATGGGGCTAGAACTATTAGAAAGGTCTGTCCTAAAACTATGTTTCCAGAAATATTACCTATAGCATACAGTAAAGTAAGCAACATACAAAAAGTAAGGAAAAAACTAATTTTGTTTGACTATTTGTGTATGGGAGGGGGTGTGCAGTGGGGAGGTGGTTTTAGTCTCCCGTGTGCGTGTGGAGGCTAGAGGTTGATATTGGGTGTCTTCCTCTATCACTCTCCCCCTCAATTTTTAAGGCAGGGTCTCTCTTTGAACCTGGAGCTCACTTTTTCAGTTAGACTGTCTGGAGTTGGCCAGCAGGCCTCTGGGATCTTCCTGACTCCATCCTCTCCATGCTCCGCCTCCCAGTGCTTGGGTCGTAAATGTGCACCATTGTGCCTGGCTTTTATATATTTTGTGTGAGTGCTGGAAATCTAAACGTGGGTCTTCATGCTTGTGCAGCAAGCACTTTACTGATGAGCCATGTTCCCAGTCTTAATTTTGACTGTTTTTCATCAAAGATGGAACTGTTGTCATTGTGAGAACTCAAAACTAGATTGACTAGGCTTCAAAGGGTAGGTCATAAGTGTCCCATCTCATTTGCAGTGTCATTCAGGGAATCTGCACTCCCGTTCTCTTCGACTTCCTTTACAGAAATTAAGCCTGAAAGAGACAAAATTCTCCTTTAGTGGGGCTTATGTGTTTGAGCTTGTTCCCTCCTCATGTGGCCTCCTTGTTCCCTGCAGAGATTAATGAGCATCAATTACCTGGGCAGTGTGTACCCCAGCCGGGCAGTGATCACCACCATGAAGGAGCGTCGGGTGGGCAGGATCGTCTTTGTGTCCTCCCAGGCAGGACAGTTGGGGCTGTTTGGTTTCACAGCCTACTCTTCATCCAAATTTGCCATAAGGGGATTGGCAGAAGCACTGCAGATGGAGGTAAAAGTTGTATTTATGTTTGTGTGTATTCCTCCCAGCTCAGCAATATGAGCACTTTGGTTTTCTAGCTTCTTCATGCGTACTATTTGTATGAAATTAGAGGTCTGTAACTTTGATATCAGAGAAAGAAAACTCACTCAGTCATAAGTTTTGCATTTAACAATTCTTTTTGCATAAAGATTATACTTAGAACAGAGGCAAAATTATTATGGGAGTTTTGTCTGTTGTGTAAAGTACTAGTGATCCTCCACCCCAACCCCGCCGGTATTATTGGTCTGATTTTGCACAAGTGAGCCACGGATGTCATTATGTAGAGAGCTTTCTTTTAACAATAAGATTGAGGCTGAGGAGGTGGCACAGTGGATAACATGTTTGCTGTTCAAGGTGAGTACCAGAGTTCAGATCTCCAGAATGCACATAAATGCTGGTTGGGTGTGGCATCCTGTCTGTAATTGCAACACTTGGAAGGTGAAGACAGGAGGTCCCCAGGAAGCAGTAGAGCTAGACTATCCTACCAAGGAGCTCTGAGTTCAGGTGAAAGACCCTGATTCAAAGAATAAGGTGGACAGCCATGGAGGAAGACTTGCATCAACCTTAGCCCTCCATACACCCATGCATGCATGTACATGTACACCCATCCACACACATATGAACATTCATACATGCACGTAAACCACACACATATATGCTAAAATAATAAAGATCAGTCCCTATGATGGAATAATAAACTTGGTAAATGTTAGCCAGTAATACCAGTAATCTTAGTACTTGAGAGGCTAAGGTAGGAGGACGAAAAGTTTAAGGCCATCCTGGGCTACATTGTGAGTTCAAGGCTAGCTTGGGCTATTTTGGGTAAGGTCTCTCTGTGTGGCCTTGGCTAGGCTGGAACTCGCTATGTAGACCAGACTGGCCTTGAACTCACAGAGATCTGCCTGCCTCTGCCTCCTGAGTACTGGAATTAAAGGCATGCACTACCAAGCCTGGCATGAAACCCCATCTTTTAAAAAAAAAAAAATCAGTGACTATTGAAGGGATGAGCTTGAATTGCATACTAACTCTGTTTCCAGAGAAGTCATTTGATCTCAGATTCCTCATCTGTAAAATGAGAGGTTAGTATGAACCTACCTCATGATGTTCAGTCCAGAAGAGAACTTATCTCCAGCCTTTCTTATGGTATGCATATTAGCTACTTTTCTCATAGCTGCAACAAAATACCTGACAAAAACAACTGAAGGAAGGAAGGATTTGTTTGGTTCACAATATGAGAGTATAACCTACTGTGGCAGGGAAGTCAGGGCCACAGGAACAGGAAGCAACTGGTCACATTGTACCCATAAGGAGGAAGTAGAGAGAGGTGAGTACTGATGTTTAACTTGCTTTCTCCTTTTGATTCAGGAATACTGTCACCCACAGTTAGGGTGGGTCATCCCACCTCAACTAATCCAATCTAGAACCTCTTCATAAACATGCTTAGGGGTTTGTCTCTTAGGTGATTCTAGATCCTGTCAAGTTGGCAATCGGTATCAACCATCACAGTGTGCTTTCGGAAATCTTAAATAAGAAAAAGCAAAATTAGTAAATACTAGAAATATTTCAGGCCTCTGAGTACCATATAGTGTCTCACCATCATTGAAGTCTATAGTAGCAGGACAGCAGCCATAGTAGACAATATGCAAATGAATGGATGTGGCAGTGTTCATATAGAATTTTGTTTGTAAAAGCAGGCAGAGGGGATTTGACTAGCTGGTTATGATTTGCTGACATGTGTTTATAAATGGTGTGCAATAAAGCCTCATACTGCCTAGGTATTAGGCAAGTTGTTGATCCAGGGACTGAGTTCTGATGAACCATTTAGAGATTGATAGACTGCTCTTCTCCTCCCCAAGGAGCCAAGCACAGATTCCATTGTTAGAAGTGGACTGAAACTTTCAGTCAGTAATAGGTCATTTCAAACAAGACAGTGAGATGGCTCAACAGTAAGGGCACTTGCCTTGCCTGAGGGCCCGAGTTCATTCCACAGTACCCATACAGTGGAAAAAAAGCTGACTTAAGACATGTTGTACTCTGATGTCTTCACTTGTGCTATGGTATAGATGGACACACACATACACACATGATAAATTAATTTAAAAAATAGATTATTATAATCTGCTTAGTCAATAGAGCATGCATGGTTATGAAATTGCAAGTGAAAACACTGATAACTCTTTTTAGTTATTACTTTGAAGGCCTCTTTGTGAATAACTGTTTTATTCATTGTCTTTTTTGTTTGTTTTTGTTTTTTAAATATGTGTGGTGCATCCACTTCATCATGCCCTTTTCTAGAAAGAAAATTGAGATTTTAGTGAATTCAGTGAGTTGCTTAGATTCAGAGTTACTTTGCGACAGAAATGCTAACAAGGCCTAAGCCTCTGGCTGCCAGCTGTAGGCCTTTAGCAGCAGAGGGTGTGTCTTTAACTTGGCTTGTGGCTGCTTGCTTCAGCCCTTCACTCTTGTCTTAGAATCCATGTAGGTGCAGGAGTTTGGGAAATGAAAAATCTCCTCATCAGGGCTTTTCCCCTAAATCATAGAGAGCTACATTAAGATTCACTAATTGAAAGCAAGGTGTGTAATCTGGGTGGCCTGGTTTTCACTTCAGGTATTACAGAGATACTAATTCAGAAAGGGAAAAGAAAGAGTCAGGGAGTGACTGGTACCGCGTTCCTTCAGCCTCTTGATGACAGGTGTGATTTGCACATAACTGTTGGCTGGTGTGGGTTTGAGGGTTACCTAGACTTCTGGGTATTAAAAATGCCATCACTTAACAAAAACCAAAACAAACATACCATCAAAAAGAGTCTGCTGTTTTATTTGGGGAAAATAAATTCAGTCTTTCAAATCCAGTTTGTCACAGTAAAACTGGAATCAAACCAATATTTTCTTATAAACCAGTAACTCCGTTTTTGAAACTTGGATAATTTGGTCAGTTTTTCTGAGTAAAACCAATATAGTTGTGAAAATGCTTACTACTTTTGGCAAGTTGGTTTAATTAGCTTTTTTTTTTTGGTCTTTTTGAGACAGGGTCTCTCTGTAGCCCCAGCTGTCCTGGAACTCACTATATAGACCAGGCTGGCCTTGAACTCACAAAGATCCACCTGCCTCTGCCTCGGAGTGCTGGGATCAAAGGTGTGTGCCACCACGCCCGGCTGGTTTGATTAGCTTTTTAAGTCTTCCTGTTTTCCTCTTCACTTTCCGCCCCCCCCCACCCCACAAACTAAGGTAGGATTCTGGAAATGTAGGTCTAGTAAGTCCAAAAGAATGCCTTGTTGGTATTGGGGCTTATTTGGGGATGGTTTTTCTTTCTCAGCATTTTAGATACAAATATATTATTTAAAGATTTTTAAAGTTTCATCTTTTCAGAAAGTATATTTCTGAAGTGAGTTATAGCTAAAGATGTATCCAGGACTCAACAATCCATTTAGTCGCCCACGTTTCAGTCTTGGAACCATATTGGCAGATGGTAGTAATTTTTAAAATGATTTTTTAAATTTTATGTGTGTGTGTTTTGCCTGCCTGTATGTCTGTGCAGCACATGCATGCCTGGTGCCTGCAAAGGCCAGAAAAGGGCATTGGAACCCCTGGGACTGGAGTTACATATGCTTTCAAGCCACCATGTGGGTGCTAGGAACTGAACCTGGGTTCTCTGCAAGAGCAGCAAGTGCTTTTAATCACTGGGCCATCTCTCCAGCCCCCGGTCGGTAATTTAGTAAGCATTTGTTGGGTGAATACACAAAGGACTCCCTAAATGTTAAATTATTCATTATTGGAAGCATCCAACTAAAGAATACAAGAGTCATTTGGTGTGATGATTATAGAGAAGATGCCAGCTCAGAAAGGAACTGGATTGGTTTCTCTCCACCCCATTATTTATAGTCCCTCCCCATGACAAAACTGCTTTGAAAAGCTGTTTTACTCATTAGTAACCCAGCCATAATCTTGAGTTTGAGAGACACTGCTTTGAAATACTATCTAAAATACCACAATCCTTACTTACTATGGGTTAGGGGGGATGCTGGAGAGGTGCACCGGGTCTGAGCAGCCAGCATGTTTTTTATGTGAGTGCCTAATTTCCACTTACTTTTTTGAGCTGTTTTTCTCTGGTCCCAATATAAAGGGCAAGGCCATTGGAGACAAATGTTTTATTAAGTCACTATCGCAAAAGCAAGTGTGGGAGAAATTACTTGCTGATCACTGTCCCAACTGGCATCTATCCAGAGCCTCTTCAGAACCTGGTTGGCCTGGGAAGTTGCACGACCTGCTGAGGCCAAGCTATGAGCTCCTTCATAATCAGGACATACTGGAATGAGACCAACTTTTATTCTTGTATGTCCTAGGATGCCTGGCTAGTACCTGTTTGCTTCTCATGACCCTTGCAAACCACTGCCTCCCAACCCCCTGAGGCTTCAAAACTGAGCTTCACTAAAGGAATCTGGGAGAGAGAAATGGTTCCTATGATAAGATGGGGCTCTGGGACACTCGTAGAGGCTGTTGTGTTAGGCAGCCATATTGCCACTTTTCAGTTGTCAGATTTTCTCTTCTTCAGATTTGCAATGGCTGACTTTGCTACCTGTACTTCTGAGTCCCCCCAGATGTCTTTATGGGGACAAAAAAAAGTGAGCCAATAACAAATAAAAATCATGCCAAAGTAATTTTGATGGTCTGAACCACTGCCCTTTGGACTGCTGATTACCAGGGAAAGCGAAGAGCAGGTAACAGAGCTGTTGCTGGGCAGAGTTTGGGAGGGTGTGTCCCTAGCAAAGAAAAGCCCACTGGGATGGTTGGGGTATGTGCATGAGTCGGGGAATTGAGTAGGGAGGTACAGTGAGAAGGCAGACAAGCATTGGAAGAGCTGAAGGGAATTTGGGATCAGACAGAGAAGCTGTAAAAGAAGTTGGGGAAATAGGGCATGGTGGTGCATATCTGTACCCCAACACTCGGGAGACTGAGGCAAAAAGATCACCAGTTTAAGCTAGCCTGGACTTACATAATAAGAGATTCCACTGTCAAAGAGGTATGTGTGTGAGTTTCTATGTATAAATACTGGTTGAAACTGTCTGCAGAATTACCAATCTGGTCCTGCCTTGGGAGTCCACTTAGGGTGAGGATGCATTTCACCGATGTTGTGTGGGAAGAAGTGGCTCCCAACCTTTTGGTGGACAGGGGTTGTATAGGGACTTCCCTAAGGATGGATGTAGTTCTAGACTTGGATCTACGCAGAGGAATGGGCATAAGGGAAGGCGCCGAAAGACAGCATTTTGCAGGTAAAATGAACTTGAGTATTGCAAGTAGCCTAAAAGGGAAACAGATCTGTAACTTCATCAATAAGATTGTAGGCCTGTGGACCACCTTATCTGCTGCCCTGCCTTGAAACTGCTCAGTTGATATGCATGGTCTAGGGTGAAGGAGTGTACTTTGGTTAATTACCATGCACTGTCCTCACATCCTTACTGGGCAGGTCCCAGAATCTGCCTGGTCAGCTGCCATAGAAGAACCTTAGTAGAAAGTGATTTGACATACTTTAGGGGCAGCTATTTTCTGGTGTAGAGGCCTGGGGAACCCTTTTGCTGCCCTTTCTAAATTATCTTCATAGAGAGGGGTCCCTAGTGTAGTTGGTGACTGCTTACTGAGAGTCACACCACAGGCTTCATGAGTCAGGGCCGCCAAGACAGGTTGGTGAGGTAGATTCAAAATGACATTTACTGACGGTACAAACCTTCTTTCTGTGATCAGGTGAAGCCTTATAATGTCTACGTCACTGTGGCCTACCCACCAGACACGGACACCCCTGGGTTGGCTGAAGAAAACAAAACAAAGGTCAGTATTCCTGTATGTCTCTTTTATTGTCTTGTGCATGTATGCATGTGAGTGCAGGGGCACATGCATGTGCATGTATGTGGAGACCAGGGGACAACTTTAGGTGTCATTCTTCAGGCACTGTCTACTTTGGTCTTGAGATGGGATCTTTCACCGTCCTGGAACTAGGTGAGGTGACCAGTGAGCCCCAGGGAACTGCTTGTCTGCATCTCCCCAGGGCTGAGATTACTAAAGTCCTCGTGCATGCCCTGATTGAGCTATTTTTCTCTCTTCAACCCCACTCTGCATCTTTAATATAAACCGTCTTCTGATTTTCTGCCCTACTCTCTCTGGTTCATGGCTTTTTACCAGTTAGTATTTTCTGAGTCTTTGGGGTACAGGGGACAACTTTGGGTGTCATTCTTTAGGCACTGTCTACTTTGGTCTTGAAATAGGATATTTCACTGTCCTGGAACTTGCCATGTAGGCGAGGTGACCAGTGAGGGCCTCCCTGGGGATTGAGAGGCAAAGCTTCCCTCTTCCTCTGTTCCCCAGCCCTCTTTTCTAATTGTTTAAGTTTTTTTAGACTTTCCCACTCCTGATTTCTGCTCCCCAGAGGGAGGGATTTATTTCACTTGTGTGTTTAATATTGCTTTTTTCCCCCCCTAAGAATTAAGAAACTACTGACTTTTCTGGGGAAGATAAAATTTACATCTCAAATCTATTTTTTCTATGTAATCTTTGGTTAAATCAGTGTTTATATTGTAACTTTATGAAGTTATTCACACCCGAGCCTTTCTATAATATTTCCTTTCTTGCTTCAGCTGCCATTCTGTTTAATTTTCTATGTATCTCCAACTCATTCCATCCCAGCTCAGGGAGAACTGAAGATCTTTTGATCTCTTTGGACTCGCAGTTTTCTGTTACTTTCTTGGAGCTCCTGTCTTGACTGGGTGTAGAGCTAAGCTCCTTAACACTTCACTGCTGTGCTACAGGTTTCCTTCACTCTTCTCTGTTGGAGTCTGTGCCTTCCACTTTTGTCATTTATCTGTCCATTTTACTGGTGCTTTATAGTCATTCCCAGAGAAAGGGACATGAGCACTTACATTTGCTTTGAACCTGCATTTCTAAAAAATGCCTTTATTTTTTCATTGTTTGGTGGATTGTTTTGTTGGGCATGAAATTTTAAGTTGGAAATGATGTCCCTCAGAAGCCTGCAGATGGTTCTCACTGACTTTAGCTTTTAGAGTTTCTTTAAGAAACCCTGGTGACCCCCGTACCCAAGAAAAGCAACTTAAAGGGGAAAAGATTTCTTTTGGCCCAGGGTTTCAGAGGAGTCAGTTCATCATGGCTGGGAGAACATGGTGGCAGAGCAGTTTACTTTAGGGCTGACAGGAAGCAGAGAAAACGGGACTGTAGGAAGAGCCAGCCCAGATTAGAGCTGCTAAGAACATGTTCCCAGTGACCTGCTTCCTCCAGGGCCCATCTTCCATCTTTCACCCTCCCTCCCATAATGCCATTTCTACATCCATCAAGGGACTGACCCATTCATTAGGTCTGAGTCCTCAGGCTCTACTGTTTTCTTACACACCCAGGTGTGCTTTTCCCCCAGATGTTTTTCAGACCAGGCCAGTCCAGTCATCAGTTAAGATTACTATATGCACTGGTGGTAGTGTTTATTTTTAGAAGCTCTTTTCTTTTTTCTCTTTATTTAACACACTTTGATTTGGAGTGCTCTCATTTCAGATGCCAGACACCCGAGGAACCCCTTTATTCCATCAACTCATGAATTTCAGTTCTGGGATATTCTAATATCTGATTATTTTTTTTAACCCATAATATTTCAGTGTGTTCTCAAGAGCTTCTGTTACTCACATGTCCAGCTGGACTGAGCCTCTGACTTCCTTCTCTTAACCTCATTTTCTTTCTCTTTCAACTTTTCTATTGAAAATTTTATTTCTACAGTGTTTTTTCTTATTATTTTTATTTTATGTGTATGCGTGTATTGCCTGCATGTAGTTAAGTGCACCCATGTCATCCGATGCCCTTGGAGGACAGAAGAGGCTGTTGGATCCCCAGGAACTGGAGATACGGATAGTTGTTAGCTGCCATGTGGGTGCTGGGATTCGAACCCAGGTCTTCTGCAAGAACAGCCAGTGTTCTTAACTGCTGAGCCATCTCTCCAGCCCCAATTTCTACAATGTTTATTAAAAAAGCTTTAGTGCTTCTTTCATTTATTTCATATTTTATTTCTTTTTAAAATATTTTATTTTTAATTTATGTGTATGAGTGTATTGCCTGCATGTATGTAAGCGTACCTGTGTTGTGCAGTGCCCACAGAGGTCAGAAGAAGGTGTTGGATCCCCTGGAACTGGAGTTACAGATAGCTGTTAGCCAGGATTCGAACCCAGGTCCTCTGCAAGAGGAGCCAGTGCTCTTAGACACAGAGCCATCTCTCCAGCCCCTTCATATTTTATTTCTAAGGATCTTCATTCTGGTCTTTGGTCTTGTCTTACATTTGTTTTGTTTCCATTTCTTTCTCCTCTATGTTTTGCAGTATGAGATTCTTTTTCATAGTGGTAGATAGTGGTGGCTTTTGTTGTTTTAGGCATTCCTCATATGTCTGCTCATCTTGGTTGATTACTCTAGTGAGGCCCTGAATGCCACCTCTAAAGCTTGGGCTTCTCTGCTTTCTGCTTTTCCTAGGGATGACAGGGTAGGTGTTCATCTCATTGGAAGATCTTCTTTTTAAAAAATATTTTACTTATTATTTTTATTTTATGTGTATGAACATATTGCCTGCATGTATGTGAGTGCACCCATGTCATGCAATGCCACGGAGGTCAGAAGAGGGCTTTGTAGCTGCATGTGGGTGCTGGGAATCAAACCTGGGTCCTCTGCAAGAGCAGTTAGTGTTCTTAACCACTGACCCATCTCTCTAGCCCCTGGAAGATCTTATATAAACTTCTACTCCCTTTTCTCATGGTCTCGTCTCCCTAGTGAGGAGTCATATGGTTTCCTGCCTCTGGGAGAATTTGACCAGCTCTTTACTTTGAGGCCCAAGCAAGGCAAGAGGCTGGGGGGAGCTAACCATTCCATGCCAATTTTGGCTTAATTGTTCTGTTTTCACACTGCTGACTACTGTGTGTGGTGGTTGTGTTACAGAACTAAAAGTTTCTGATTCATATACTGCTGGTCTTCTGCCCTTCTAGGGGAAGTGGCTTGGGGTCTGATGATTTCAGCCCCCCATTGCTTGTATCTCACTTGGACATGTACATTATATGAAATGACTTTCAGTCATCCTGAGTTGAGAACATGCTTTGAACTTTGTTCATTTGGCACATCTTGTTTCTCTTTGCTTTGATGCATAGCAAACAGAGAAAGTGGGAAGAAATCAATCAGAATGAACCACCTCAAACTGAAGCGGATTTTAGTTTTAGATTTAATTCTTTTTATAGCTTTAGAATTTTCCTCTTTTATGGATAGTAAATGTGAGCAGCAGTTAAGAGCACTCGCTGCTCTTGCAGAGGACTGTCTGTAACTCCAGTTCCAGTTTCCCTCTTTTGACCTCTGCAGGCGTTGTATGACATGGGTACACTTAAAGGCAAAACACTCATACACATAAAATAAAAAATAAGTAAAATATTTTTTAAAATTGTTTTACTTATTTTTATTTTATGTGTATGAGTGTATTCACTGCATATATCTACATGCACCCATGTTGTGCAGTGCCCAAGGAGGTCAGAAGAAGGTGTGGTATCCCCTGGAACTGGAGTTACAGATGGTTGTTAGCTGCCATGTGGATGCTGGGAATTGAACCCAGGTTCTCTACAAGAGTAGCCAGTGCTCTTAACCACTGAGCCATTTCTTTAGTCCTGTCTAAATAAAATATTTTTTGAAAATTGACTCCTATATTCTATATTCTATTTATGGGAAAATATTTTTTCTTTTTCTTTTCTTTTTTGAGTTCAGGCATTTTAAAAATTACTTGCTGTTTCAAAGAAGTAAATTTAAGCCAAATGTTTTGTCTCAGAGATCTGCTAAGCAAGTTTTTAACATTTGGTACTTTAAGTTTGAAGCCAAAATTGACAAAAGATGGTGATTTCTCTAAGATTTGGTTTTGATGTTCAGTTGGTGTTGTGTGTGTTTATTTTCGTTGTTGTTACCGCCTGTAAAATTTTGGACTTGTTGGTTAATGGAATTTGGCATTGATCTGTGGGCCCTGTAGGGGGCGGCAGATCCTTTTAAACCTCTTGTGCACCTTGGAGGGCCTTGCCAACTTGGTAGGCTGGAAGAGTGAGCCGTGGCACCCTCAAAGGAGCATCTCCTCTCAAGTTCATTACAAGATACTGACTGCTATGAAGTTTTTTGCTTTTTTATTTTAAGAAAACAAACTGAGCATGCTAGCACATACCAGTAATCTCAGCATTCAGAAGGCTGAGGCAGGAGGATGAAGAATTTCAAGGCAGCTTGGCCTGCATAGTGAGACCCTATCTCAAAACCAGGAAAGGAAAAGAAAATATATTCTGGGCTTTTCCCCTTCAAGCCTTCATAGTGAGTCAAGTTTACAATGTCTTGCAGTTTAAAGCTTCAGTTTAAAACTTCTTTTTGAAGAATGTTTATTATATATAGGTAAAGTGCCACAAAGAAGAGCCAAAGATAAGTGAGGGGGAAAGAGAGATTATTCACAAGAAAATTAAGGTATAGTCTGTAAATACAGAAGTACTATGCTCTGCATTAGTGCAGAAATGGAGGGAGTAAGAAAAGGCGAGGGAGAGAAGTAGAGAGGAAAGGGAGGGTGAAGAAGGAGGGAGGGAGGAAGTGCGGGGACTTTGAACCAAGAGCTATTTCAAATAGACATTTAACCATCTTTTGAAGAATAAAAGCTCATGATTTGGGGGTTGGACCCACAGTCCTTATTATAACTATTGCTCAGCCAAACTAGAGACCACTCAGAGTTCCTCTTTCAGTATCCAGTCTCTCTACCTCCTCTGCTGGTCCTTTTAGAGGTAGCTACAGTTCTTCAACAGGGCCTTGGGTTGAGACTGTCCTCTCTCAGCATTAGCTCTGTCCCCAGTACCATTCACTTGCTGACTGGGGAGTCTGGTCAGAATGGAGGTACTGTCCTTAGAGTGTTTGCTCTGTGCACATACCATCAGACATGTGTCTGGCCAGTGAGGAGGAAGGGTTTTCTGCACTGGGACCCACTGATGTACTTTCCCTCCAGTTTTGATGGTCCTCACTGGAGCTAAGGTCACACTATATTGCAGAGAGCGCCAAGGGCCTCCTTGTCATGCTTTGGAGACAGGGTTAACTATATTCTACAGGAACCAGAGAGAAACTGGTTTAGAATACAGATTGACTTTTCTCTAAAACATAGCAATTTGTTTGAAAGTAGAAAACTCAGAATCATTTGGAAATTTGGGGCCATAAGGCTTATTTATTTTAATGCAATGGGCATTGATATGTTTACCCCCCCCCCCCTTTTTAGCCTCTGGAGACTCGGCTTATTTCAGAGACCACAGCTGTTTGCAAACCAGAACAGGTGGCCAAACAAATCGTTAAAGATGCCATAGTAAGTAAAAAATCCTTGTTTTGTTTTCTGTACTATTTGTAGTTATACGGTATTTCTTTTAAAAAAATATTTTTTATTTTTATTTTATGTGTATGAGTGTCTTGTCTCCATATTTGCAAGTACACCTGTATCATGCAGTGCCCCTCCAGGTCAGACGAGAGCATTGGATCCCCTGGAACTGGAGTGTGGATGGTTGTTAGCTGCCATGTAGGTGTTAGGAACCAAACTTGGGTCCTCTGCAAGAGCAGCCAGTGCTCTTAACCACTGAGTCATCTAGCCCTGTTATATAACATTTCTTAAAGATGTTGGGCTTACTTCAGAGCAAAACATTGTCAGTTTTTGGTCAGAATCATCATACTTAATATTACTCTCTACTTTTCTACCCTCGAACTTTTTATTTGTTCCCATATTAACCTTAGGGACAGATTTACCAGTAAAAATGTCTGGTGCTTCAACTCTTAAAAAAGAAAATGAGACGTATTTGTGAGATGCAAACAGTATCCACGGCATGTAGCATGCTATCTTCTTTTGTTGTTGTTTATAATTTTTGTTCCATCTTATTTATTGTGAATGTGGACATGTGATGATGCTTGTGTGGAGGTCAGAGGAGCTTGAGGGAGCTGGTTCCCTCCTTCTACCACCTGGATTCCAGGGATGGAAGTTGGGTCAGCCTTTTCAGCAAGTGAATGCCTTTACCCACTGAACCATCTTGCCAGCCCTGCCTCCTTTTCATTTCCCACAGTCTGCGATTATCTGGGGTATTTTGATACAACGCTCACTGAGGTTTTCTTTTCCCTTCCTATGTCCTAGTATCATTTTGTTCAAAATTCATAGATAGGAAAGTGCAGTCAGGCCACTGGGTCCATCATCCTATCATCCCCCTTGACATGCTTTCTCGGTTACTCAATTTGTGGGGAATCATAGCTCTAGAAACTACGTAAGGCTTTGTAGAGCACTGTGTGTGCCATGTCTTTTGAAAACACTCTCATTAACTCTTGTATAGAGAACGGTACATTTCTGCGGATATTTGTGAACACATAGGCCTATAAGACTTTGGAAAATCTGGGAGCAGTTGGGATGACAGGTGCTCAAATACTCTGGTGCAGCTTCCAAGTAGTGAAAGGACTGCCTTGTCAGGCTAAGCTGAACAGCCTCAACCAAAATAGACCCAGAGGGCCAGCAAGATGGCTTAGTGGGCAGCAGATCCTGCAGCCAAGCCTGATGACCTGACTTCGATGTCCAGAGCCCATATTAATGGAAGAAGAGAATTGACTCCCAAAAGTTGTCCTCTGACTTCATATGTGTGCTGTGATATGTGCACACATACACACAGAGTAAACAAATATTAAAAAAGATTTTTAAAGAGACACAGTATAGGACTGGGGAGATGACTCACTTGTGAAGTGCACAAGCACAAGGACCTGAGTTCAGATAACCAGAACCCATGTGAAAAAGCCACTGTGGTCACCGGTGTCTGTAACCCTAGCCTTGGGCCAGCAGAGATAAGCAGATTCCCAGAGCTTGCTGACCAGCCAGTCTAGTCAAGTCAGTGAGTGCCAGGTTCAGTGAGAGACTCTATCTCAAAAGGTAAAGAGCAATCAAGGCAGATTCTTGACATTGTCCACTTAGGACATTCACATGTGTACACACACACACACACACACACACACACACACACACGAGAAAAAAATAAAATCAACACAAAGGTAAGCTTTTGCCTTTATTTCCTCAAGCCTAAGGCAGGGCACAAGAGGCAGGTTGGGAGTTTGCTTATCAAGTCAAAGCAGACTTTCTCAGAGTTAATAATGATTCTGAATACTGTTTCCAATTTTGGCAAAATGTATCTTATTAGGTAAATTTCAACCTTTTTCTTCTCCTGACCATAACCCCAGAGAACTTCTGTTTATCTGGGTTATATTTCTCAATACTTGGCATATTGGAAATTGAAACTGTAATTTAAGAAATATTTAGTTATAGGGCTTAAGTGAGTAGCTCAGTGATAGTGTTTGCCTAATATGTGCAGGGCCCTGGGTTTTCCCAGAAACTTTGGGGGATGGCAGGAGATGATTTAGTTATTAGATTAAGTGATTTAAAATAAAAGTAATAGAAAATATTAAAAACAAAATAATAAATCCATTACATTAAAAAATTTGTTTATGTATATGTGTGTATGCCTGAGTAATGTGCACTGTGTGTATACAGTGCCCAAGGAGGCCAGTAGAGGGCATCCTGGAACTGGAGTTTTAGACTTCTCTGAGCCTCCTGATATGGGTGCTGGGAACAGAACCTAAGTCCTTTGCAAGAGCAGCAAGTGCTCTTAACCACTGAGCCATCACTCCAGTTCAACCCATTACATTTTAGTGTGACATGCTTTACAAAGTAATCTTCCTCCCTCTTCCTCTTCCCTCTCCTTTCTTCTTTGTTTTTTAATTTTAATTTTATTATTGTGTTTATGTGTGTATGATGTGTGTGTAAGAATGTACACTCATCATGGGTACAAGTAGGGGTCAGAAGACCATTTTTTGGGAGTCAGTTTGTTCCTTCCATCAAACATAGGTCATCAAGCTCATGTGGCAAGGAGTTTTACCTGCTGAATCATCTCACCAGCCTTTTTCTTTGTTTCTTAAAGACAGGGGCTCCTGTAGTTTGGGCTCAAACTTGCTATGTTGCTGAGAATGACCTTGAACTGCAGGCCCTCTTGCTCCTGTTTCACAGGTGCTGGCTTTACAGGCATGTACCACCATGCCTGGCTCGAAAATAACTATTTTCAAGCAAAAATTCAATGAGAAGAGGGGTATTATATTTTCACAAGCCACATCATGGTCTGCATTAATAGAGATCAGCTGTATCTCATACCTGCTTCTGTGGTCAAACTGTTGTAAAATGTTTTGAAGAAAATATGGCTTTACACAGACTTTATACAGAGATGTAGTTGAGAGAGGAAGTATTTCACTAGTATTGTCAGATAATTATGGATACAATTTTCTTTTTTGATATTAACCCCAACTTGACAAATGCTGGTTTCTTAGAGGTTGGATACAACATGAAATTAGAAACTGCATCAATGAACTTTTTGTTCTCTGTGACATTAAAATCCATGTCTCTTTTGCAGTTTGAATGGATCTTTTGCTCATTCATAATTTTGTAACATGTATTAGTCATTTGGAAAATATGGGACCACTGAGTTATCAAAAATCACATTTGTCAAATATCACCACTGATCTTGCCATGCAAATATGTATCAGAAAACCAATCGTCTCACACTGGGAATCCAAGTTTTCACAAACCTTACTTTTTCCTTAAAAGCTCAGATTATCCATATACACATCCCATGGTTTTCCTCCAAATAACAAACAGGCCTTGCTCAATTTATCTGCTGCATTTGTGCTGTGAACCCAGGTCAAAATGGTCCTAGCCTGCCCATCCATTGGCTATTGCATAGAAAAATGATATTCTGTCTGCAAGTTCAGCTCTGAGCAGTAGGGTGAGGGCTTTTCTTCAAGGCATCTACCATCCTTTAGTATTTCCATAAACAGAAGCACTTTGAGTGAATTCTCATTTGCCCTTAAGGAACAAGTAGCCACTCCCCCCACCCCTACTCCTACCCCCTCTCCTCTGGGGAGATAGTCCAAGACTGACATTGGAAGCTAATCTTGGACTATCCTAAAACTTTGAAAGGTACCGATTCCTGTGTATGCTATGTTATTTCTTCTATGTACATACCCATGAAAAAGTTTAGCTGGAGATGTAGCTCAGTTGGTAGAATGATTGCCTAGATGCATGAAGCCCTGATTCCATCCCCAGCACTGCATAAATCCCAGAACTGTAATCTCAGAATTTGAAAGGTAGAGGTAGGGGGATCAGAAACTCAAGATCATCCTCAGTGTTATCCTTAGCTACACAGTGAATTCGAGGGTGGCCTGAGCTACATCAGACCCTGGGTTAAAAAAAAGAGAAAAAGTTTAACTTCAGATATGCTGGACAGGGGTGATTCATGATGCAGATGAGACAGAAGCTGGACAGCATGAGATGTCAGTGTGCTATGTAGAACAGCATGCAATTGAGTACATATGAATCATTTGTTTCTGGAATTTTCCATTTAATTTTTTCAGACTTTGGTTGACTATGTATGCCTGAGGGAGTACTTTGATTTGAGGAGAGATGTCTTCAAGGGCTGTGACTTAATGAAATGATGACTTTTTAAAATTTAAAATATTTATTATTTTTATTTTATGTGTATGAGTATATTGCTGACATGTAGGTAGGTTCACCTGTGTCGTGCAGTGCCTGTGGAGGTCAGAAGAGAGTGTCAGATCTCAGTTACAAATGGTTGTTAACTGCTGTGTGGGTGCTGGGAATTGAACCCAAGTTCTCTAGAAGTAGAAGAGCAGGCAGTGCTCTTAACCACTGAGCCATCTCTCCAGCCCCCATGATGAACTTTTCTGCTTTATCAAGAGCATCTTTAAGTAAAATACATTTTCTATATTTATCACTGTAGTGGCATTGGACAGGACAGCGAGGGCTGGCACCTTTAGTCCATTCTGGCAGAGACACTGGCTTGTACTGTGCCCTACAGTTTTACCCACTGGTATGAAGGTCACTGGTGAGGCCAGCTTATGTTTTAGTATTATTTTGAGAGTTGCTTTGTCCTTGGAGACTCTGGAAGAGTCTTGGGATTCACAGGCATCTGTGAACTCATATTTTTAGAGCTATACGTCTGCTAAGGCCAAATGTCCATTTATGAGTTCTGGTACATTCTAAGTTGCCATTCTATCCCATATAAAGTGAAGGAATACTTCATGGCTTCTCAGATGTTGAACCAATTCCTTTAAATTTACTCCACATCCCTCTTTTTTCTTCTCTTTTAGCAAGGAAATTTTAATAGCTCCATTGGCTCAGATGGGTACATGCTGTCCTCCCTGACCTGTGGGATGGCCCCAGTAACTTCTATCACCGAAGGACTCCAGCAGGTGAGTGCTTCTCAGCCAGCAACTAGCCATACATAAAAATAGGCAGACTGAAGGGTGGGTGGATTGACATGGTAGAACCCCCTCATTCAAGTTCTGTGAGAAAAATCTAAGAGTAGAATAAAGTAATTTTAAGAGCAAAGGGTTTTCTGTTTCTCTGCCAGCAGTAAGTAGACAGAGAGTAGGCTAAGGATATATATAGTTAAAGGAATGTAGACTGAGAAGGTATAAAGTACCAGGCTCTGCAGGTGGATGAAGGACTCTCTGATATTGGGGTGGTCACCTGGGTTTCTGCCAAAGAATCCTTGCTTCAAAGTGTTTGAAAAATGAATGCTTGGTCTAGACTAGCTTAGGGATAGCCTTGTCTACAGCTAATGAGATGTTAGACTAGAAACCATTTTCTAAGTAAATCTAATCTCCCAATAGCTAAAACTCAAGGAGACTCAAATTGAAGATTACACACACCTTCCTATGTGTAATGGAATGGAGCTATGGAATTTATAGCTCCGTCTAGGGCACGTGGACATTTAATTCTTGTTGATGAGGTGCTGTCTTCCCCAGGTGGTTAGGTGTAAGGGAGCTCACTGGTCTCAGGGAACTTTCAGTTTAGTGGAGGAGGTGGCAAAAGAAGTAATGGTGATACCAGAAATGTGATTAGAGCTAGGTTGTTTTGGGAGACAAAGCCACCAATCATTATTAACAAAGTGCTAAGGTCTGTGGGAGACCATGTATGTTGCATGAAGATAACTTCCTGGTTGGTTTTCCTCAGGACATTTTCTAACCCTCCTTCTTACTCTGAAATATACCCACTATTATACGACAGTAGACATTGTTAGGTATAGGATCTTTGGGGACAGGGGTTATGCCTCTCTTCTCTGTCACTGTGCCCCAGCAATGCACAAAACAGGAGTTCTAGAATGCCCAAGTTGGACCAGTGCACAGTCTGCATCTTTCCACAGGTGATCTGGTCCCTTCTTATGACTGCCACTTCCACACAAATGATGCCAAGTCTATCCCATAACTAGCATCAGACTCCAGGTCCCTATCAATTTCTTTTACGTATTTCCCCCCAGAAAGTCACTGGATGTTTCCAATTCAACATGTTCAAAATAGAACTTTGCATTTCCTCAGCATCCTGCACACAATCTCTGGCCACCCAGCCCTCCCATGTTCCACCTCTGTGATGGGTACTAATACTAAGCCAAGTGCCCAGCCAGAAACTGGGGTGTGGATCCTGACTCCCCTGCTTCTGCCTCTCCTGTCAGAGTCTGACCTCTTCCATCACCCTGTTCTTCAGATCCATCCCTCATTCTGCAAACCCACTGCTGCTCCCAGAATTTAGGCTGGAGTCACATATGTTGTGACTCAGATATTGTAAACTGGACCCCATAGGACTGAAAAGTGAAATTGTGCACCATCCAGTTGCAAGTGTGTATGGTTTGCCTGTAACCCTGGCTCGCCTGGAACATGCTATGTAGCTTATACTGAGCCTCCTGCCTCATCTCATTCTCCCTAGCGCTGGGATTACAGGTATGAGCCACCACACTCTGTAAGTGCATATATTTAAATAAAGTAGTTTCAGAATCAAAATTTACATAAAAATGATCCAGATCTGAGACTTTTGTACCAGGCTGCCTTCTCCACAGGCAGTCTTCAATAGGAACAGGTAGCAGCTACCCCATAGAACAGAACACAGCCCGGTCACAATCCCTGTGGTCTCCAGCACCCTGCCCAAGTCACCGGGGTGCATTTCACTGCTGTTATATTTTCTACACTGTGCGTCTGAACTGCAAATACATCTTGTGTAAAACCTTCAGTGGCTCCCCAATACCAGTAGATGAAGCTTAAATTCCAGTGCATGGCACAAGTCTGGCGGCCTGTTGTTTTCCTTCCCCTACCCCTCTTGTTCTTTCTAGACTACTCTCATCCTCAAGTTTCCTTTATCTTATTTCAAATCTTCAGATTTCCTCTTTAGGTTCCCTTTCACTAGAAAACTCCAGGTCTGTGCTCAGTGCCTGTGCCCACCCCTTCATTAATCTGCACTGTCTTTTCTTGAGATCTCTCCTCACACCTTGACCTTTAGTTTTGTTGTTTTATTTTTAAATAATACACTTTTATTTTTAGGTTTATAGAAACCTTGAGCAAAAAGTACCTGCATGCCTGACCACCACAGTTCCTTTTCTTACTGACTCATTATGTGGTGCCCATGATTCAGTTGATGAGTCAATACTGACACTGAATTATCAGCTAAAGCCCACAGTTTACGCTTGGGTTACTCTTGCATATCTGTGGGTCATGTGTCTGCCACTACAAGGCCAGGTGGACTAATTTCACTGTCCTGAAATTCTCCAAAGCAGCACGTTTTTCATCTCTCCCCAATATTCTGCCTACCTGCAATTTTTTACTCTGAAGTTTGGCCTTTGCTGGCTTCTGTTTAGGTTTTTTTGTTTGTTTTTTTCTTTCTTCCCAAAAAATCCCTTGCACTCATTCAGAGAGCCAAATCATTCAGAGAATCAAATTGTTTTCATAGCTTGCTCAGAAAAACAGAGGCTCTTCCTCAACTTGCCTTCTGCATTCTTCTTCCAGACATTCACCCTATTCTTTTGGCAAAACCTTCATGGTTTACCCTGCTGCCTGGAGACTGCACACCCACATCCCTGTTTCTGCCCCGTTTCTTTGCATCTTCTTGCTGCCTTCCACATGAAGGAGGAGGGATGGCTGTCCTATATACCATTCTCTCCCCACACTAATTTCGTTAGATTAGCTATATTAATATTTTTGTGGGACTGGAGAGGTGGCTCAGTGGTTAAGAGCACTGGCTGCTCTTGCAGAAGACCCAGGTTCGATTCCCAGCACCCACATGGCAGCTAACAACTGCCCTAACTCCAGTTCCAGGGGATCTGATGCCCTCTTCTGACCTCTGCAGGCATTGCAGGACAGGGGTGCACTTACATACATGCAAGTAATACACGCATACACATAAAAATAAATAAAGGCTGGGTGTGGTAGCGCACGCCTTTAATCTCAGCACTCGGGAGGCAGAGGCAGGTGGATCTCTGTGAGTTCAAGGCCAGCCTGGTCTACATAGTGAGTTCCAGGATAGCTGAGTCTACAGGGAGACCCTGTCTCAAAAGACAAAAAATAAATAAATAAATAAATAAATAATAAATAAATAATAAAATATTTAAAAAATACTCTTGTAAGATCTGTATTTGAGAAAATCATTTTTTGGCCTTCACAACTGAATGTCACAGTATTACTTTGCCTTTTCTTTGAAAATGTTTTGTCCTGAATTTCTTGACTTTGCTGTGTGGCCAAGGATGACCTTGAGCTTCTGATCCACTTGCTTCCACTTCCCAAGTGCTGTGATTACAGGTGTGTGTCACCAGTTCTATTTTATGTGGTGTCGGGGCTTCATGCTTGCCAGACACACACTTTGTCAACAGTCCACATACCCAGCCCTGTTACTTCATTCTTCACTGACCTTTGTAATCTCTCTTGGGATAGCTATAGATCTGAAAACTAGATTTGGGGGTATTTCATCTTCTGGAAGGAATTCCTACCCCAGCTTGAGCCTGGGCCTTCCAGCCACCACTGGGTCTGCATACCTGGAATGCCTGGTGGATAGCTTGTGCCTGGCTTCCCTCCCACTTCCTGGTGTTCCTGCATCTCTCTTTTGTGTGGGATTCCCTACTTCCTGGAGCACATGACAGTGTCTGACTTTGTTGACCCCTCACTTTATTTACTTCATCTTTCTGGAGAAAAGGATACCTGGGAGGCAAATACTTTTAACACTTTCATATGTGAGAATGTGCATCTTTTGGAACTGCTATTTAGAATTGCTTTAGTGAGAGTCTGTTAGTGGAAAAGGTAAAAGGCCATGGATAATTGCTCAGAGAGGAGGGGAGGGTCTTTCTCACTTCAGTATTCTTAGCACCCAGTAAAAGGCTCAGTACTCAGTACATAAATCTTAGCAAAGAAGCCTTGATTATAACTTGGCTCTTTGGGATGCTGGAGTCAACTGTCCCTAGCAACTTAACAGTCCTGTGCCTCTAAGAATACTTGTTTTGTTCTTTGTATGGTTGAATTTATTCATTTGGACAAATAACATTATCTCTCTGGCGGGCTCAGTGCTATCCAGTGGTACAAAGCAGACATATTCTCTTCTTGGGAATTACTGACATTTACGAAGTTTTCATTATAGTTATTCTTGGAGCAGATTAGATGTGTCCTAGAAACTATTTACTAGAGACCTACATACTTTGAAATGGGCTATTGTATCATACTGTTGGATGAGCTAAAAGGTCTCTTTATCTTGCAGGTGGTCACCATGGGCCTTTTCCGCACAATTGCTTTGTTTTACCTTGGAAGTTTTGATAACATAGTTCGTCGCTGCATGGTGCAGAGAGCAAAATCTGAAATTGTAGACAAAACCGCCTAATTCTTACCCCTCAGACAAAAGACTGTTCCCAAATAATTTGAACAGCTCGCTGCTATACAGGACCCAGTTTTTGGCTTGCAGACTCTTATGTCCTGTTTTTGAATATAAGAGATTGGACCAGTTCTCTTCAAGAAACCTGGCTGCAAGCAAAGGAATAGAATTTCAACTCCAGACAATATTATTAACACTATGCAAATATGGAATTGGAGACCATCCGATTTTCTGGGCTCTGAGGTGGAGCAGTGGTGGTGTGAGAACTAATAGCAGGTGAACAGGGTAAAGAAGAGTTCCATTTCTCACCTCCTCCCCCCATAGAGATCAAGACCAGAAATATACTTTGTGGCACATGAGAAGTTTTGAGGATTGTTTTTGTTTTTAGTTTTTAACTTTCCCTGAAAGGCAATTTCTGGGGTTTTGTTTTATTTGGTTTGGGAGGCATATTTTATGCAAGGTGCATTTTCCACACTGCCAGTAAGTCTGAGTGTCACCAGCACCTCTGCGCTGTGCTTGGAACTCTCCACTGTTAGTGGGAATTGGCTTCTCTCTCTTTGATCCCAATCCCATAAGGCTACAAGGGGGATGAGAGAGTAGTGCACTGGAAGGCCCCCTCAGACAAAAGACTGTTCCCAAATAATTTGAACAGCTCGCTGCTATACAGGACCCAGTTTTTGGCTTGCAGACTCTTATGTCCTGTTTTTGAATATAAGAGATTGGACCAGTTCTCTTCAAGAAACCTGGCTGCAAGCAAAGGAATAGAATTTCAACTCCAGACAATATTATTAACACTATGCAAATATGGAATTGGAGACCATCCGATTTTCTGGGCTCTGAGGTGGAGCAGTGGTGGTGTGAGAACTAATAGCAGGTGAACAGGGTAAAGAAGAGTTCCATTTCTCACCTCCTCCCCCCATAGAGATCAAGACCAGAAATATACTTTGTGGCACATGAGAAGTTTTGAGGATTGTTTTTGTTTTTAGTTTTTAACTTTCCCTGAAAGGCAATTTCTGGGGTTTTGTTTTATTTGGTTTGGGAGGCATATTTTATGCAAGGTGCATTTTCCACACTGCCAGTAAGTCTGAGTGTCACCAGCACCTCTGCGCTGTGCTTGGAACTCTCCACTGTTAGTGGGAATTGGCTTCTCTCTCTTTGATCCCAATCCCATAAGGCTACAAGGGGGATGAGAGAGTAGTGCACTGGAAGGCGGGGAGATGAATCTGCAGTCAGCAAACAGTGCTTTCTTAGTCAACTCTAGGAATTTTTCTTTTTTCATTCACGGGAAAAGGCAGCCTCTCTACATGTTTTCTGAAGAGAAATAAAATCATAGAAGCTTAAAAGTTTACAGTTTCTTCAATAGCCATGATGACATGAAGTTCACAATTCCATTTCCCTTCTAGTGTCTGTGTGTCCTTCCCATCTCTCCTTTTCCAGTTTTGCTTATATTGCTGTAATATTTTTGTAAAAAACAAAGACCAGCTGAGATTTTTCTGACTTGACTTTTTTAATTAATTCATGAATTCATGAAAACAAAAAAATTTTGAAAGGCGACATTCTTATCCTCACCGCATACATGTAGCTTTTAGGAAAGGTGGGGGCTGCATACTTTTGTTGTATTCTTAAAGTATGGTTGATGTGAAGCTACTCATTTTTGAAATGAGGTGGTCAGCTACTCTCTTGTCTCTCCCACTGAGCCTCAGAGCAGTGTCTGTATGCTGTGTGCTAAGGAATCTGCTCGTCCTCCAACTGTGCAGTCCCAGAAGTCCGCTTTGCCTTGGCATGCGTTCTAGCTTGCAGGTCTGTGGTTCACTCAGTGGATATCTATATCAAGTGCCTATGATGAGTCTCAGCCTGCATCCCCTGCCTCTGTCTGTTCACTGTACATGCTCCTCTGGCCTAAGGACAGTTACCTTTGTTTTGATGTTCTGTCCTGTCCTCCTTGTGTACACAGTAGTGCATTTCAATTCATTCCACTGGGAAATACCTCTATTCTTAAAGAAAACCTTCTTAATGATTAAGAAATTTAAAAATAAAAGCAATTGAAGACGTTGAAATTATATTGCCATGGCAAACCTTTTTTTTTTTTTTTTTTTTTCCCCCTGAGGGAGGGTCTTGCTATGTAGCCTGGGCTGGCCTCAAACCCATAACCCTGCATGCTGGGATTACAGCCATGTACCACCATATCCAGCAAGCCAGGCTTTTGAAGCTCTTGACTTTAAAGTGGCTTAGTTTTTAGTTAATAAGATACTTAATGGCTCCATTTTTATCGGGATCTGAGAAGACCATATTTTAAACATTGATACATAAGACATTATTCTTTATTATATAAATTGCTTGAAATAACTTCATTAGTGTTTACAGGAGTAGGTTGATAATGCCAAAATGGTTCCATGACTCTTCCAGTCAGGTCTAGCCAAAGCTTACAAGTTATGTCACACTGTAGAGCTGCTGAAATGGAATAGTGGAGGGCATGATCCTGATTTATGGGAAAGGATTGCATTTATATCTGGACACTGTTTCAATTTTATTTCCTTAAAAATGTTCCTTGAGAGTTGGTACTTTCTGCTGCTGGTCTGTATTCAAATCTAGTCCAAGATGGTATCTGACTCAATACAGTTAGCTATTTAACAATTCAGTATATCATTTTCCAAATTACCTTCAGTGAGAGGGCTGTTATGCAGGCAATGAACTTCCTGAATAAATTGAAAAGCCCTTGTTTTGTGGTGGGAGATACTGATCCTAACCCAGTTTAAACTCAGGTTTACAGAGGCCACATTGTCACTGAACTCACTGAACATGCTGTTTTTGTCCATGATGTTGAAGGTCCCCACTCCCTTATTCAGAAGTTTGGAATGAAATTTGTTTTCCTAAAGTTAATGTGATATCAGCGAAACGAACTGATCTGAGAGTATTTGGGTTTTTATGCCTCATCAACATCACGTGCCTGTTTGTTAATGTCACTAGACTCCATACAGGTGTCTGTGATATCTAGCCTGTGTCTCACATTACCTTTGAAAAATCCAGCAGCTGATGAACTCTGAAACACATACTTTGGATGCCACATTTAAGCAGCATCCTACAAAGCTCTGATTTCATTCCAAATGTGAAAATATTACAAGGAAAATTCTGTTTTTTATCTGTTTTGCGTCAATTTTTGCACATTTTTCTGCTCAGGAAAAGAAGGGTTAGAGAAATTCTGATTTTTTTTTTTCTTCCTGAGAATTGAACCCAGAGCATTTGAGACCAGAGCTGTACTATTGAGTTATACCCCCAACCGTGGAGTTACAATTCCACTGAAGTGTGTGCTCTCTGTATGTGACCAGTGACAGTTTATGAGAATTTCAGTTCTGAAGTGCCTGCTTTGTTGGTTTGGGTTTAACTAATATAGTTTATTTTTTAAAATTAACATAATTCTGCTACATAAATTCCAACACGTATTCAAGAATCCTTCACAATTGAGAATGAATAGGAAACAATGCTCAATTGTTGAAAAAAAGAGTCATGGACTAGGGATGTGGCCCAGTGGGAGAACTCTTGTGCAGCATATGTGAAACCTTGGGTTTGATCCCCAGCCCAATCCAAAAGAAATACTTTTATAAAGGCCATTCTCTCACCTATATTTTAATTTTTAATAATTTGCACAGTTGACAATTTAGAATGCTGTTGTAGTGGTTTCTTCTTATTGGTACTTATAATTTAGTTGCATATATTTATCTGGATTTGTTAAAACATGTATTATTGATTCTTGCAAGTAAACTTTTATAAAACTTTTTAATATTTAGATGATGAAAACATTTCTATACTCATTGCTTCAAATCAAAGAACTGTTTTTTTCCTTCTGGTAGAAGGAAGTACCGTGATTTTACCCCCCCCTGAATTATGTTAATTTTATCATACTGTGTTCTGATTTAAACATGCCTTACCCAAGGTTGCATTTAATATTCATAATTTTTAACCCTAAGATGCTTTGTATTCTCATTTCTCTTAGTTCTCAGCTTTAAAAAGTACCTGTTAACCATTGTTCCCTGGCCCTGGACTAGATTATGCTGTTCTCATTATGGCTAGCATAGTGGAGTGTCTGTGGATTTGCTATTTTGAAGACGAGAGTGTTGCCATTATATTTTACACTTGTTCAAAGTGACAACTCTGAAGACATTTTTACATTGACAAAAGAACACATGGCTATTTTGATACATTCTAGAACTTGTGTTTGCTACTTTAGAACTAGCTTTTGTGGCAGAATTGTAAAGTAATTTTCATATCTTGTATTTCTGAATCACAACAAAAAAATAAATGGGGAACAAGCTTTATTGATCTGAGAATTTATTTTTCTAGAAATTTGTGTTTTCTAAGAGACTACTTAAGCAACATAGAAATGTTTTTGATAATGTTATCTTGACCTGGCTTCTTAAGCATTTCATAAGGCCTGATATTATATTTTAAGAAGTAATATTAGCAAGGTACATACTTAGTATTCTGAGCTTATTTCAAATATGTTCTGCTTGTGGGAGTAAACATTTAAATATAGGGAATTAAGTAACATTTCTTGAGCAGTTAATGTTTCAGATACAAATACATTTCCTGTACCTTATACCTGTATATCAGTGAACTGTCTGCAGGTTCTGACATGTGGCAAGTTGTGTGTGATGGATATGCAAAAAGGACATGCCTTTATTCTCATCAGTTGAATTTTGATCACATAGAGAAGAAATCCTTTCCACGTCTTGTTATTTTATTTAATTTTAGGTTATGTTTGGCTTTTTTTTCTGGATCTTCCAGAGAAATGAAAATGTTCAACCATCTCATCCATATGTATGTTTGTGAGATTTTACCATTTTTTTCTCCTAATTTGCTGAGAGGGTTTTTCTTATTGTTTTTTAAATAATAGATGTATGTTAAATGTTATTACCTGTATTTTTCTGCACTATAAGCTGATTATATGACTTTTTTTCTCCTTTATGATTTTTAGTTATTTTTATTATCATATATACATTGTACACAGTGATGGGTTTTATAGACACATTTTCACTCGTTTGTCATTTTTTGGACATCTTGAATTGCAAGCTTAACTTTTCTTTAAATTTGAGCAATTTATATTCATAAATGGCATGTGATACCACTTACAATTTTTATGTTTGGGTGTTTAAAAGAAAAGAGACGTTCTTGTTTCTTGGTTTCTATTTCATTCCTGATGTCACCTGGTTTTCCTCATTCCACATATACTGCTTGAATCCCAGTGATGATGAGCTTGCTAGAGGGGCTCTAAGGGTGTAGTAGTTCTCTCTACTTTTCCCTCCCTCCTGGTGATTTCGGTCTTTGTTCTCCATCTCCACGCCATCCGTCTGCTGTCTTGTATCCTTACACATCTTCCTGGGGAAGGAGAAGCCAACCCCCTTTAAATATTTAAATATCTTTGGCTCTGGGCCTTTGAATTTTATGCCATAAAGATTTTAATGCTAAGCACTTTTCTAGGCAAGGGATGTACCAAAGACAAATGTGGTCCCTGCATTCAAAGAGTTTACAATATAATACGGAAATACGCCAGAAATTACACTGTGATTGACAAGAAATATGGTTAAGACATCACAACTAACACTGAGAACAGATAGGTGTGTTACCATTGAGCGCTTTGCATGTTTTAACTCACTGAAATTATATATGCACACACTGAGTAATAGTGCTTATATCTCTGTTTTGTGAATGAGGGAGCAGACAGGTTTAGTGACCAGTCCAAGGTCACAGCTGTTAAATCAATGGAGCCAGGATTCCAACTCAGGTTTCTGGGTTTTAATCTCAGCCTTTAGCCTCTTAACAAACCTATGTCTAGCAGTACAGGTGGAGTCTGAAGGCTGCCCAAGAAAGGAAGGGCTGATTTCACAGAAGTGCTTGAGTGGAAACCTAGGGAACAGATATGAATTTCCTAGGTGGAAAGAGTGAGTTCATTTCAGGGGAAGGAGCAGATATCTGCAGGCAAAAAAGGTGAGAGGGGGGAGGAGAGAGAGCAGTGGGAGAAGAGAAGAGCCACCAGAGGTTAATACAACTATAAGGGAAATAGGAAGGGTGAGCAGACTTGGCCAGATCATGCCATAGAAAGAAGTGAGATTCTAGCATTTGAGTTAGTTTGAACAGAAATAGCAAGATTTTAGTTTCCAAAAGGTCATGATATCCCTTGGAATTCAGTTTTAATGTTGCATGGGACTTAGTTATTGGAGTAAATAATCCTCATTAGTTTGAAAGGCACCCCATTAGATACATATTATAGGGGAAATGTCACCTCAAAAATGTTGACCTGCTTGGCCTTTGGAAATAAGTTCAGTAAAGATGTCATCAGGTTAAGACAAGGTAATTGGGATGGGTTCTGATCCAGTATGACCAGTGACCTTATAAGAACAGGAGAAAATGGAGATGCATGGGAAGGGTTGTATGCCCTTGAGAGAGGCAGGTGAGGAATGGGATCACAAGCAGGTCACCACCAGACTAAGAAGAGACAAGCAAAGACTATCTGAGTCTCTGAGGGGGCCTCTAATCTCCAAAGCTGTGAAAAAATGTTCAGTCCTGTTTTAAGTTACACCATTTGTGATACTTGGACATGAAAGCCCCAGGAAACAAATGTATCAACTTTGATCATTCTAATTATTTTCACAAATATCTGAGAGATACTGTGTTTTCTGCTAAGTAGCAAAAGAGTGAAGTCAGTTATTGCACAGAAGCGTCCAAGTGCTTCATTTCATCTCTTCCCCCAGGTAGTAACACTACACTTGTTTGTTTAACTATTGCTACTTCAATCCAAGGAAAGCAAGTAAGCATTTGAGAAACACAAGTTCCTATCCTTAGCCTGTTTCACCTTACAAGTCACTAATTTGAAAGGCAAAAAATAGTAAATTTCCTATGCGCTCTTTTGTAAACCAAAATTAAGCACTATTTGCCTGATATTTTTGCTGTTGCTGTTTTAGTGCTCAGCATTGGACCCAGGGCCTTCCTTACACATGGCAAGCCATCCCACCCCAGGCCCTGGCTCACTGTTAAATTTGTACTCTAACATGATTTATCTCTTGTTCATTGCCTAGTTTTAAAGGTTGTTGCTTATTAATGTAACTATTTTTGAGGTTTAGGATCTACCAAAAACTAGTGAGGTGAGCTTCCAAGTTAATCTAAGGCTTATTGGTTTAGATCTGATGAAAGCATTTTCCAACTCTGACAAGAATGGTTGGACAGGAGAGCAGACAGACAACTGGAATGTGATCAGTCACAATGGAAGAAAGTTTCTTAGATTGAAAGTACTGGGAATAGTGTCTGGAGCTCATGCAGTGCTTGCCTACCCCTTCCATAGCACTGTTCAGCTGTGTCTAGGGCCCTTGAAATTAGAAGCCAGCATTTTACTTTCTGGATTGCATATCAGGCCTGTGAAATGTTATTTTCTAAAGTGGTCTATCTTCTATTTAGCCTATATGGAGTATCAGTTTATCTGTCAGTCTATCTTACTCATTTTGTTTATTCATTTCTTTCTCTTTTTTTTTTTTTTTTTGGTCTTTTTGAGACAGGGTCTCCCTGTAGTCCCAGCTGACCTGAATTCACTGTGTAGACCATGCTGAACTTGAACTCACAAAGATCCCCCTGCCTTTGCCTCCCAAGTGCTGGGACTAAAGGCATGTACCACCACGCCTGGCCATTATTCATTTATTTCTATTCCATTTGAGATTATGGTTTTTAACCTAAAATAACAAAAATGGTTATATTTATTTTTCTTTTGGGGAGGTTGTTTTTTACTGTTTTGTTTTTGAGACAGGGTCTCACTATGTAGCCCAGGCTAGCCTGACTCATTAGACCATTCCAGGCTGGCCTTGATCTCACAGCAGTCCACCTGCCTCTGCCTCTGCCTTTAGAACACTGAAATTAAAGGTATGGCCACAATGCCGGGCTTGTCAAAATGGCTGTATTTCTTAATTCATCTTCCTATTATCAATTCTCCCCCACTTAAGGATCATTTTAAATGAAAGGTTGCATAACTGGGAAGATTTGATACACATTTATATTAACCAATAGTATGTTCATACTAGAATAATATTTTTGAATTTTATAAATTTAGGGAACAGTCACATTGATACTGAGCACTTTCTGAATAATGCTGTTAAGCACCAACCAGCAGGTGGCGAACCTGGCAATGAAAAGCTTTTTGTTTAGCAGACCTGAGCATGAAGAAGGAAAACAGGCCTTTCAGATCCATGATAGATTCCCACTCTCTGTATCTTTTTCCTTTCTCTTCCTGGTAGAATGCATCCAGGTATAGCTGACAAACGCTGGTCCCTGGGCTCTTAAGACGTGGACGCCACCTTGGAAAGTGAAAGGTCCACCTTGCATTTCCAGAAGGTCTCAGGCTCATGTCTAGCCCGAGGCTGTTGGTCATGGCTGAGATGCCACATAAGGACCCAGTCTGGGAAAACCTGTGAAGTGAAAGGTCAGGAAGCATTTCTTTGGGAACAGGGGATCCATTTCCTTTTGGCTGTCCCTTTGCAGAAGTACAGTTCTTTCCCAGCCCTGTCCTCTCGTTTCCTCACCCCAGTGCTGCATATTAAAAGCGCAACAGCTTTCAATTCCTCTTAAGTAATTTTGGGGTTTAAGACAAGGTTCTGAGAAGATCCCTAAACCATGTTATAGAGTTAGTACCATTTCTTCTATTTCTGTGGGAGCACATCTCCCAATGCTACTCCAAAGCTGCCCACCTCTCCAGCAGTGCCAAGGAGAAGAGAGAGGACTCTGCCACACTCATCAGAAGGGTAGGAAAGAGCATCTCCTTTCATTCCCTTTTGCTGAGTAAGAGGCTTGTACCTTTCATTCTCTTTCTCAGCAAGAGGCTTGTGCTGGGGCCTCATTCCCACAGGACAGGGGGTGGCCTGATAGCTAATAGGATAAATCAATGAAAAAGTAAAAATGTGGTATATATATGTATATATTACACACATATCATACATATGTCTATAAAGACACACGTAAATAAATTCATTGGGGGCTAGGAATATAGTTCAGTTGGTCGGGTATTTGCTTAGCATGCATAAAGCCCTAATTTTAATTCCCAAAACCTCATAAGCAGCACATGTATGTATATGCTTGTAATCCTAGGACTCGAGATGGAAGCAGGAAAATCTGAAGCTGAAAATTATTCTTGGTGACATAGTGAGTTCAAGGCCAGCCTGGAATACATGTACAGGGAGACCCTGAATAATAATAATAATAATAATAATAATAATAATAATTAATATTTAATAATAATAAATAAATAGGGTCAGCAAGGCTCTGCAGGTAAAGGCACTTGTCACGAGAGCCTGATGACCTGAGTACCATCCCCAGGACCTATGTAAATATGGAAGGAGAGAACCCACTCCACAGAGTTGTCTGCTGACCTTTACCTGCGTGCTCTGGTACATGTTCCCCGACTTCCACGCCCACATTTCATGTGCACACACACAAGAAATTTAAAAATAAATGCATTTAGACTAGGAAAGACGGACAAAATACAGATGATGTCTGAATTTATTTATATACATTGCAGTAAGCAGTTGTCTTGTTTCTGTGTCCATAGCAATCCAGTGTGCCTATGTGTACTTGAGCCCTATTAGGCAAGCTGTTGTGCTTTTAGCAAATATTTTTTTCCTTGGTGCTTTATTTATCAACAACAAAAATAGTTAAACACGTGCAACTTGTTTATCTCCTTGTTCTTCTCTCTTGGGCTATTCATACTGGTGACTTTAACAGTGTGTCTGCTTGTGGGCACAAAGATCTGTATCATCATTTGAGGTGAGGCCATCTTGGATTGGCTGCTAGACAGAGGTGGGGAGATCAGAAACCCACCCATTCTAGCCTTAGGATTGTGGGCTTGAAAGGTGCCATGCAGCATTCTCAAGGTCCAGCCCTGACCCAGTGCAGGGGGCAGAGGAAAAACAGTTACCCTCCATACATCCTGCCCTCCTTTCCCTGACCCAGAGTGAGGTCTGGCCTTTTTATGCAGGTTAAAAAGAGCACCCCTGGGTGCACAGGGGTTGTTCTGCTTGGACACTTCTGCAGCAACTAAACACATCACTTGGGACTTCCCTTGAATATTCTTTAAGGAATGTGGGGAGTTGCCTCTTTCAACCTGAGGACAGTGCAAAGGTCCCACTATTCTGGAGTCAGTATCTGCCTCAGTCATCTCTGAGCACTGAGCACTGCTAACAGTGTTTGTGTACACTACATACACAGTTAAAAGAATACATGAGATTATTCACACATACTTTACATATGGTTAGCAAGGGTCATGTGATTGTGTACACACTACACAGCAAGGATCCATGTGTTTGTACACACTACACACATGTAGTCCATGCAAAGGTCCATGCAATTATGTACATAGCTCACACACACAGAAAGGATCCATGCAATTGTGCATGTGTTACATCTGGTTAGAGTCCATGCTATTGTGCACATACTACACACTGGGCTATAAAGGGCCATGAAACTGCACACACTACACACGGAGCCCATGTGATTGTGCAGAATACACATGAGGTTAGAAAAGATTCATTCAAATGTGCACACAATACACACATTGTTAGAAAGGGTCCATGCAATTATGCACACCCTACACACGGTTAGAAAAGGTTCATTCAATTTTATACACACTACACACATGGTCCATGTGCTTGGGCCCACAGTACACACTGGGCTAGAAAGGGTCCATGCAACTGTGCACACAGTACACACAATACACACATGGTCAGAAAGGGTCCATGCAACTGTGCACACACTACATACAGTTAGAAAAGGTACATGCAGTTGTATACACAGAAAAGGTCCAAACCGACTGTGCACACACACGCTGGATTAGAAAGGTCCACGTGATTGTGCACACTACACACGTAGTTAGAAAAGATCCATGCAACTGAGCACACATAAAACACACATGGTCAGAAAGGGTCACACTACGCACAAGGTTGGAAAGGATCCATTCGGCTCTGGCACTTGTTCGGCCCTTGCTCCGGCACACCCACCCCCGCAGCCGTCCCCTCGGCGCGGGGTCCCCCGGAGCCCCCGGCTCCCGGAACGCGCGCCAGGCCCGCCGCAGGCCGGATGAG